CACGTGGGCAGTTCTTCATTCTTGTGCTCCATGGTTCTGAGTCTTTGTCTGATGAGGTTCCCCCTCAAAATACATGCACATGTAGGGTCTTGTCTCTCAGCCTGGCTTTTTTATGTCCTAGGGTGTGAGGAAGGGAATTATTTTTGATGCATGATTCAAAGTATATCCATTACTAGATTGGAGGTTGCATTTCCCTTTTATCATCTGTTATAACTTAGATGAGTGTGAAGGTCACTTGAAGAGGGATTAGCTGTCTTTCCTATCATTTTAGACACCAGAGAATATCTCCAATATTCTCTTCTCAGACACTGAGCAGTAAATATGTTGAATGGTGATGTAAGAGGTGAATTTAGGAACATTTAGAAAAAGGAAGGTCATTTATTAGCCTTGGGGGGGAAATTTGGTAGATAAGTGCTGTAATCATAATCCCTCGCTGTCCACTTGGCTTGTAGTCCTGATTTATGAAATAACCATAAGGTAGGTCTTAATTTTAGAGGCCAATAATCTGTTCTACTGATCACGGAGGAGAGTGGAAAAAAGAAACTTACCCAATTCCTGAAAGGAAAATTCTCCCAGGATGAGATCACTTGCTGAGCATGAGTCGGGGGAATTAGCTTTTGCTGAAATTGTCATTCTCGTATCTTGCCAAACTATTGCAACATCTGAATGAAGTGGTTTGACATTCCTATTTTAAAATATTTCCGCAGCTATTTTAACATTTTTTTGATAGTGTGCTTAAATTTCAGGGAATTGTGGCTAAGGGTCCGTAGGTACGAAGCAATAATCCTATAATAGAAGTTCATTTAACTCAAAGAATTAAACATTCTAAGTTAGAATAACTTACGTAGAAACAGGGTCTCTGCTCGTGGAAACTCTGCCCGAATGAAATCTTCATTTGCGGGGAACACAGTCCACTCAAATGGCAACAGTTTCCCCGGCGTGGATGCCAGTGCTCACTTCTGTCGGGCAGTCACTGACGAATTCCTAATGGCCAGAAAAGGGTTTTTGTGCTTTTAGCTTGCTTGGCCATTGGGCCTCTCAGACCTGTCAACCGCACCCTTTCCTGAGAGCCTGGGCCACACCAGCCATCATTTGTTCCTCTTCACTTACCGTTGAAGAGGAGTCCTCCCCAGGATGTCCTTTAACCCCCTTTCTTCCCTCCTTCCTGTGTCCCTCGGAGCTCTTATCCAAGCTGCTGGTTTTCACTGCATCTGTATGTTGAGGGATCCCAACCTGTGTCCCCCTCCTTCCTGACCATCCCCAGCTCCAGTCCGTCTCCTCTTTCATATTTCAGTATCGTGCTTCCCCAGCCTCCCCCACCCCCTCAACCCATTCTCCACCGGCTTCCAGAGCAATCGTCCTAAAACATGTCTGATGGTGTAAGGGCAACCGTCTGACCGCTACTTGTCTGTTACCAAGAAAAGGTCAGCAAATTTGGAAATTTGGCACTTACTGGGGAAAAAGTGACATTTCATTAAAAAAGAAAAACACCTAACTTTTTAGGACTGTGCCACAAGATAGTGAAGGAATCCTAAAGGGGCTCACACAACCGCCTCTTAAAGGGGCTCACACAAACCACCCTGTGTCCCGGTTCATTGAAAGTGTAAGAACAAGTGAGGGGCCACCTCCCTCCCGTGGGGGCCCTCCCAGCCGACACACAGGGCCTGATCCAGAATGCCGGTGTCTGCCCGGACGTTCAATACCAGTGAAACGGACTTTCCAGTCTGTGTGGGCAAGAGAAGTGGGAACTGAGTGTTTCTTCGTTTCCTTTCCTGACCAGAGGTTTGCCCTGCCCGCTCCATCTTAAAGCTGCAGCTCTGACCGCTGAGGCAGGGACTTTATTTTTAAGTCCTCGGCGGCCTCAGTGTCTGCCCCAGGTGGCCCTCGAGAATGGCAGGTGAAGGAGTGTGTCCCCTGAAGAAGCCTGGGTCTACAACTTCCTGAGTGAGTAGTTGTAGAACCCTGTCTTGGCTGGAGAGAGCACCTGCTGTTGATTTTTTTTAAGTGCTGGTCTTCATTTTGAACTTTACTTACTGAACTCTGCTGATTACTTGGGAAGAGTATAGAGACAGCTTTCCTAGTCCCAGGCCCTATAAACCACAATTCTTCAAAAATATCTCTCATCCTTTTTTTTTTTTTTTTTTAAACCCATCCCAGGTTCTGGTATACAGTATCTGCAATCCTCACACCATAGATTTTCAAATGCACCCTTTTGAAACACATCGATAGCAGAAGGCTAATTCTGTCTTCTAGCCGAGGAGGGTGAGGCTGTACTTTCTATAGCTTAAATTTTAAAATGCATTTTGTTGGCTAATTGCAAAATTATGATGTTCCTTATAACTTTGCAAATCACATCTTTCCTCCTTATCCATGTTCTGACACTCACCCCCCCCCACCCCCCTTCAAAATCAATGAGTTAAAGAAAAACATATTTCATGTTATCTAAACCCTCCGGCCCGCCCCTAGGCTCCCATATGCTCCCCGTTAAATGTCTGCATAGCTGCGTCTTGCTATTGTTTTAACATTTGGTCTAATGCCTGGGGAGTGGGCGTTCTCTTTAAGCTGCTTCTACTCAATTCTCAGCAGAGAAAGCAATATTTTGTTATGAGGTAAAGTTTCAAGCCAGGCCCTGGCCAGGGTCTTCCCCACGGGGGAGGAGGAAAGTAGGAGCTGCCAGCGCGACGATAATTCTCCTTGAATTTTAGCTCATTAAAACCTCCCCTGGTCCTTGGGGGGGTTATTTATTGATGTAAGCATCTAGCACTTGTCCCTTCCAGAAAGAATTAGCAGCTATGATGTGATCATTGCTAAGGGAGGAGGTTTTCGTCCTTTCTCTGTGGGACCGGGTGTCCCCAGCTGCTGCTTAGCACAGCCCGTGGCAGAGCTGAGTTTGGGTCCGGACCAGGGGTCGGATGAGATTGCCGAGATTTATAGGTAATGAAAAGAACAGGTTGTGTCGAAGACACCACGTGTAGGAAACGAAGTGTCCTTAGGGGACTTGTGTGAACCTGTGATCCTTGGCTTTTTCCAAAACGAACACTTCAGTCTTGTACATGTTAACTGTTTAGAGATGTTTTGCCGTGTTCTGTTTTTGCTGCTATTGTGCATGAAAATAGAGCAAAAATGGTGTTTCTTATCTGCGGGTCCTTTTCAACAGCGTGGAACCTTTGTGTTTCTCTTGAGACTCCCTGTAGTTGAATGTCTGCCCTGGTGCAGGTAAAGGAAGAGGTGCATTTTCTTATTCAGATGTGACATCCTCCTTCCGTAAGAACACCTTTTCCCTGAAATATAACATCGCCCGAAAGTCTGGTTGCTTTTCAGATCTATCTGTAGAGAGCACGTGTGGCATTAACACACCAGATTGTTGGTAGTGTTGGCTTTAAACATCTTGATTTCGTCTTGCAGCGTTGTGGCCATGGAGCATGAGGAGAGAATGGTAGTTTCAGCAGGGACTTGTCTTTTTAATGTGATTCATGCACTCAATTCGCCGAGAACCGTTTCAGTGAATTCATTCTTCTTCCTGTGCCTTAATGAAGTACGAGACTGGAAAGCACAAGCACTGTTTGCCTCATTAGTGTTGCTCAGTGAATGTTAATTCACTTGGTCCTATTTGCATGATCAAACTGGTCTTGGCTTTATCGGCTCTTTGAAAAGACATGCGTTTACATTGTTACTGTGCTTCTCCTGTGTCGGGAGCTGGGAGCTGCCCTGGATCTTGGCCATTTTGTCCATAAGCCAAGTAGGACTGTCATGGTTTGCTTCCCCTCGCTGCCGTCTCTGGTCCCAAGAGGCCGAAGAGACTTCAGCTGACAAAGTCTCCTGCCCAGAAGGTGTTACAGACTCTCAGGTTGAGGAGCTGGCTTAGTTCTCCCTCGAGATCGTCAGGGATCAGCCTGTCCAAGCTGAGAGTGGAGGAGGGTGTGTGGAGCACGGTTGTTTACCGGGTGGTTGGGGGATGGTGGTGGCAGGGCATTGAGTCTGGAAAGCAGAGGGTAGGCAGCTTCCCTCTCTTCCTACCTCATAGAGGACTCTAATTAAGACGTATAGTAGGGATACTTACACTTGCTGAGCCTCCGTTTCCTCATCTACTAAATGGGTATAGGAATGCCGCCCTCACATATTTGGGGTATTCAGTGAGATATTGGCAGCACCGAGTGGACATGTGCAGGTGCAGCCATTTCCCCCCAAGGAGCTAAGATTCCTTCTTCCCCTCTGTCCCTCCACATACAGATCCAGTTTCAGATCCTCGGTTGCTTCCTTGGTGCGGGGACAGGTGGTCACTCTTTGGTTGAGCTCAGAGCCACCCGCTTACCCTGCCTCTAGACGTGACCTTCCTACCAGACACATTCCTCCAGCACTGTTGGCAGAATTCAAACCGGAACCGACGTGATAAATGTGTTTTGTAGTAGTGGTTTCATTCTTTCCTTTTTCTTTAAAAAAAAAAACAAAAACAGTTTTTCACGAGACTAACCAAGGCCTCAAGGAAAAGGAGATCCTCTCTCGAGCTTTTGAACATCCTTCCATACATCTAGTACAAGCTCCACGTGGCTCTAGTTTTGATTGTTCAATTGAACAGGCTGGAGGCCCCCTGTTCAAGTGGCCTTTCAAGTGGCCTCTGTACAGCAACCCCCTATGTTCCTCCTAAGCCGACTCAGGGTGCTGCCCACCCCGGCGCCCCTTCCGTCTCCGCCTTCCATCGTAGTTTTCTTTGGCCTCGCCCTTTTCTTGATGCTGCAGTGAGCAGTGAAAACACGTAAATGACAGTACTACATACGCTGGAGTGACGACCCTGGAGAAAGTGTTGGTCTCCTTTTCCTTCAGGATATGATAAACACATTCTCAGTACTAACCAACATGAGCTGCATTAGTCAGTCAGTCCATGATTCTGTCCGGGTCGTCAGTGCGAAGCAAAACTCGGGAACTGCGATGGCCTATTACGTTCAAAGCATTTGACATTGATCGCTCGGTATGTCTTTATTCAACAGATTGTCTTTTTCCAGCTTCAAGAGGCTGACATTGTGGTCTTAGGCTCGCCCAAGCCAGAAGAAGTTCAGAAGAAGTTCCCCTTTCTTGGATACAACCAGAAACGATTGTTCTCAACTGTTCCCAGTGTGTTAAAATAGGTGCCGGGCTGCTGATAAAAAATAGGTGTGATTGTTACAAAGCACGTTAACCTTATTCAAAAGAGTATGTTCCTGAGATGTCTGCTGGTCATTGTCAGTATGCGTGCACAGGAGAGGAAACTGAGAGTTGACGTGCCCACCTTTTGGGTTACTGATACGGGAACCACATTGTCCGCCAAAGAGGAGCCAAGAGGCCAAGTGCAGTGGCTGCCTCCGCCTCCTCCCCTGCCGGCCTCCAGCATCAAGCAGTCAAGCCAGCTGTGGCCTAACGCAGATCATTTGTACATGTGTGAGGTCAGCTAGAGAGCGTGGTTTCCGCGGTCTTTTAAAAAGCACCAGAATCCTTCCTTCCAAACAAATCTCAGCCAAACCTCAACATGAAAACAGTGGCCAGGAGGGATGGAAAATGGAGACTAGCTCTTGTGTCTCCCAGGTTTCCCTTGCAATGAACCCCCTAAAGTCCCCATTACAAACGGGTGGTGTTAGGATTGATATTTGATGGTGTTTCACCAAAGCATCCGGGAATGCCGGGTCACACCAGGCCCACGGTTAGGGTAGCTCAAGCTGTGCCAGCACCAGGGCACCCAGCCAGGCGGCAGTCGGCGCAGGCCCACAGGAGGTACCCTTCTCTCACTCAGAGAAAGACACTGAGGCCGAGGAAGCTCTGGCCACACTCAGCCCGCCTCAAGCCCCTGAGTGACATGTAGATGCAGAGATACGGGCAAAGGGAGGCGAAGGAACCCTCCTTCCTTGCTACCTGTGGCCTCCAAATCTCATGATGAAGCGAGGGACTCTCCTGGGGGCCTGGAGGACAGCGCTGTTTTTCTCCAGAGCTGGTCGGAACTTGGGCCAAAGTCCCCTCTCCCATCTTGCCAGTACCACACTGGGGTTCTCGGTCTTGAAGCCTTAGAGAATAGTATCCAGGAGAAAATAAAAATAACTTCTGACCCAGTCACCTCGACAGAACCATTTTACATATTGTCATTCAAAAAGCATTCAACATAATTTTATGGGACATATAGAATGAAAAGAAAATATATGACATGAAAAGCATTATTGACATTCATATAACTCTTTCTTCAAAGAGAAATGGGCTCCTCTCAGAATTAAGCACTCAGATTAAAAACCCCTTAGGCCTGTGGTCGGCGGCTTGCGAGCCACATGCGGCTCTTTGGCCCCTTGAGTGTGGCTCTTCCTAAGCCTTAGGAGTACCCTAATTAAGTTAATAACAATGTACCTACCTATATAGTTTAAGTTTAAAAAATTTGGCTCTCAAAAGAAATTTCAATCGTTGTACTGTTGATATTTGGCTCTGTTGACTAATGAGTTTGCCGACCACTGCCTTAGGCTGAAGGGGGTGAGGTGGATTGGGGAGGGCAAGGGAAATAGATGCTCAGGAATTAATATGATATGAAAAGCATTGAAGGAGAGTCTACTTCCATCTACTTCCATATTCTCTCTCCCTTTTTAAAAAATATACTTTTATTGATTTCAGAAAGGAAGGGAAAGGGAGAGAGAGATAAAAACATCAAGGATGAGAAAGAATCATTGATTGGCTGCCTCCTGCATGCCCCACACTGGGGATCTAGCCTACAACCCAATTCCCAGTCATGTACCCTGACTGGGAATCGAACCATGATCTCTTGGTTCATAGGTCGATGCTCAACCACTGAGCAACACTGGCCAGGCTCCCTCCATGTTCTTTTGGAATCCCTTTGAGACCCATGATTTTATGAAGGTAACATATTTTATTAGTGAAACTTTGCCTTATTAATAAATTTCTTTTTAGGACCTTCACTTACCTGGTTCAGTAGTAGTTTTCTTGTTGTTTTTGCATGCCCAGAGTCCAGAATAGTGCCTGACACATTATAAGTGCTCAGTTAATACTGAGTGCTGGATGAGTGAATAAATGTGGGCTCAGCTCAGAATTGCACTTCGAGTGCAGTTTTAAGTTAGCTGTAGATTTATAGACATTTCCTTGAATTTGTCTCCCACCTAGAAGCGGGACTGGCAGGGCCGAGTCAAAGATGAAAAACACTGTGCGGATGAAATGGATGAACATTTTCCAGTCTGTACTGTTTACAATAGCAGGCATTCCTCAGTAGTCAAAGTTTTCATTTTAACAACTTTGAGTAGTATGAAAATTTAATCTATGAGTAGTAAATTGGTAGAAGACCCCCTTTTATATAATCTTTCCCCTTTGAAAAAAAATGAATAGACTTTTTCAATTATTATTAAAAGGAAAAATGCTTTTATTTAAACTCAAGAACAAAAGAATTTTTAATAAACTTGTGATTGACTGAAGGCAGGGTTTTTTAATGAAATTTTTATGCTTATCTTAATGGTACAGGGTTTCCCTACTCTCTCCCTCCCTGTAAAATTAGATGGGGTATGGTGATTTACGATGAGGTAATTCAGTAGAGGCATTTTATTGAATATCTGATCTCTGGAGACGTTTTCCTGATGGTTGATATCCTAGAAGCAGTGTTCAGAAAACAATTACACCTGCTTTGTTGGATCTGTTCGCTCTTCTATGGCTTGACTCTGTTTAGATTTAAAACAGGGTCCAGCCGGCATGGCTCCATGGTTGAGCATTGACCTATGAACCAGGAGGTCACAGTTCCTGGTCAGGGCACATGCCCAGGTTGCAGGCTAAGCTCCCGGTGGGGGTGTGCAGGAGGCTGTTGATCAATGATTATCTTTCATCGTGGATGTTTCTATCTCTCTCTCTCCCTCTCCCTTCCTCTCTGAAATCAATCAAAATTTATTTTTATAAAGAAAAAAAAACAACAACAGGGACATGGCAATGTTCAGTTTCCTAGTTATAAGGATATAGTTTTAGAAGTGGGCTGTGATTTTGTAGTGCTATGCTTGCTAAAGCAAGACCATTTGTACCCCAATATTAGGACTTGTTTCCTGATGTACCAAACTAGACTAAGGAGAAACGGGTGTATGTCTTGGGCCCAGAGAACAGTATGAAAACAGCAACTTTGTGTTTTCATAAAGTTGGGTCAGAATAGTTTATGGCATCATTTTAAGCAAACATAACTGTTGTTAGTGTGGAGCAGGGGCCGAACCCTGGGCTGCATCCCAGGGTTCATGCTAATGAGCTGAGGGATCCTGGGGGACTGAGCCTTCCCTCTTAGGAATCTGAAGGACATATAATAGAGAGGGAAGAATATGGAATCTGGGGTCAGCATTGATCTGACTCAGAGATGAGAGAGTTTTTTGGTTTGTTTAACTCTTAATGCATTGTATCGATGGACTTGGGTGACTTTGGGCAAATAACCTAAGCTCTCTGTTCTTCATTGTCCATTCATTGTCCTTGTGGGCACGAGGGGAGCAATGTTGTTGGCAGGAATGAATGAGATGCCTCCTCATGTGCCAGGCCTCTTTCATGGGAGCTGCCAGTAAACGGCCCACTTTCTCACTCCATTTCATTGTTGTCACACCGGCACACAAAATAACTCACATCAGCGGGATGAAAGTTTACATGTGAGAAATCAAGCACAAGGAAGGAAGAGTTCCAATGAGGTTCTGAGGATGTAAGAATGCAGAAATTGGGCATGTGTGTATTTTAATGATTATCCTATTAGAGTTGGAATGTGTGCTTAGGACTTTTGAACTTTAATTCTAAAATCCAGTGTATCTATTACCATTTTCCTTAATTTTTTCTTTCTTTTTTTTTTTTTTTTAAGGAAATTCTAGATGTTTTGGATCTATCCCTGAGATATATTTTTGCCAGTTGTTTTTTTATTTCAAAATTTAATTAGTTCTCAATACAATATATTATTTAATGCTTTTCTTTTATTTTTTTAAAAGTCTCAGCCATTTAGAATAAACAAGTCTATCAATTTTTTCTTAATTTGGTTTCAGTGATTTCAAAAGGGCTGCTTATATAATTAATACTAATTTTTTTACCCTTTCTTTGAAGATTCTTACATTGTATTCTTTTTTAAAATAGTAATTCAAGTTATTTGATAGAGTAGTTCAGGTGTTTTAAGTGAGAAATTCTTGAGCACAGTCACAAAAATTGTACTGAAATTTTATTTATTGCCTTTCACTGTTAATGTATTTAACTTAATACATTAACTTAAGTTGATATATTTCACTTAAAAGCTAATCATGTTTTTTTTGAACAGTTCATCTTTACTAATTTGTAATTTTTAGCTCTTTCTATTTCAAACTTTCACATAAATTTTTTGGTGACTTGTTCTCCTGGGAGGAGGAGAAAATATTTAGAATTCAGTCAATGGGTTTATGCAGCGCATGTTTTATAAGAAGGGTGCCCTCAGCCAGATTGCAAAATAAGCTGAAGCGTTTCCATGTAACCGAGATGGCAGGGAGACTGCAGAATGCCCCATGGCCCCTCCCACTCATTTATTATGGCAAAATTCCCAAGTGGCCTCAAAATAGCTCCTGTCAGAAAAGGCCTGTTCTGATTTCCAGGGAAAGTACTGTAACACTTTAGCCTTACATTTTCTTATCGTGGAAAGTTTGGTTATTATAATACAAACTAGAGGCTGGTGCATGAAATTCATGCAACGGTGGGGGGGGGGGTCCCTCAGCCCGGCCTGTACCCTCTCACAATCCGGGACATCCCTCTCGCAATCCGGGACCACTGGCTCCTAACCGCTCGCTTGCCTGCCTGCCTGATTGCCCCTAACCCCTCTGCCTGCCTGCCTGATCGCCCCTAACTGCTTGCCTGCCTGCATGATCAACCCTAACCGCCTCTGTCTGCCTGCATGATCAACCCTAACCGCCTCTGTCTGCCTGCATGATCAACCCTAACCGCCTCTGTCTGCCTGCCTGATTGCCCCTAACAGCCTCTGACTCATCCCCCACACTCGGGATCCAGGCTTTCCTCCTCTGGACGGCCATAGGCAACCGAGACCCAGACTTCCCTCCCTCTGGCCGGCTGCAGGCAACCGGGACCCGGGCTTCCCTCCCTCTGGCTGGTCGCAGGCAACAGGGACCTGTGCTGGCTTTGCCCGGGCCGGCCGCAGGCACCTGGGATCCCAGACAGCTTCGCCCAGGCCCCGGCTTTGTCAGGAAGGACCTCTGGAATGACGTCTGGAAGACATCTGGTCTATCCGGTCTAATTAGCATATTACCCTTTTATTAGTATAGATTATAAATGAAAGGCTGTCTTTTAAAGTGATTCATTGACTTGTCCCTGGAGGAGCCATGAGTGAATGGGGAGTGTTTAGTGGAAGTGGAAAGACCCATTTGGTTTGGGATGGGACACTGGCTGGACTCACAGGCCAGTGTAGACAGCCCTCTGGATGGGGCCGCCCTCCGTACAGGCAGGAGTTGAGATAATGATTTCCTTTCCCCGTTCTCTTCAGATGAAATTTATTAAGGATGTATTCCTAATTTGTCAAGTTACCATCTTAATTGCTTTGAATTCTCTGGGTTCAGAATTTTTAAGTTAGTTTTAAGATGCATCGATCGTACTACAAAAGAAAGTAGTATCAAATAGCACAGAAGAAAGCGACAGTAACTTTTGATCTTGTCACCTTGAGATAACCATCTTGTATTTTTCCACTAAAAAAAAACATTACACTTAATTTTATTGGAATGACTATAGTAGAAGGAAAATAAAACAATATGATATAAAAGCACTACTGAAACTCAGATAACTTCCTTCAAAAAGAGAAATACTGGTTCCTATGAGATTCTTCTAAGATTTAAAATACATGTATATTTTGTGTTGTTTTAAAATCCTTTTTATGTTAGCCATATTCTGTTGCATGGAAGGCAGTGGTTGAGATTACGGGAGGAATTATTCACTGTGTAATTCCACAGGCAAAATGTTCTTTATTCACAGGGGTATTTGTGATTCTGTTCCGGGAACATACATTTTTAAATTGATACCAGTTCCTAGAATGTAGCTTTTTCCCTGTGTTTCCATCATTTAAGGATAGAGGTAAGAATGAGGAAAGCATAATTCTTTTCGGTGGTGGTTGGACAAGACCTTCCGATCAGATCTCTAGTGATGCAAACAAAGCAAAACAAATCTCTCTCATTCTCTAGACTCTTGGCTTTTGCCCGAACATGATTTATAAAACTGAAGTGTTGCTAATCCTTAAACCATACCTTAGGGACATGATTTTCCAACACCCTGAACACATCTGACAATAGGACATCACAGAACACTTACCCTGAAGTGTTTGGTGCTCTCTCTTGCGAAGGACTGTCAGCAAAATGGATAATTTCAAAGTGTAGTGGCCAAAAAAGAGGGGAAGCATTTCTTAGTTCAGAAGAATTGCTATTAGAAACGCGTCTCTTTTAAGGGAGGGTGTAGCTAAAGCATTTTTACATGTGTGTTTGCTTTTTATAATCTTCCAAGTGCCAACCACAGGAGGGAAAAGTAGAATTCTTATAAGTGCCTTTCTATTTTGAAAACCAGGTAATCCCCAAATGAATATTCTAAAATGTTACATCACTGTTAGGACAGGGAATTTTGTAATGATCAGAGAAAGCCTGATCTTTCACATAACACTCTGGCTGGCTTTATCCTGTAGGAGTTCAGTTCCCCTACTTATACTTTCTATTCAATGTGTGAAATTGCTTTTATTTTATACGTATTGTTTAAACATACACACCATATGCCAAGCACTGTACCTACCATATCACATGCAGTTCTCACAAAATTCTACGAGGTAGATAGTCCCCACATCAATGAACAGGGTCAAAGTCACAGTTGCTGGTAGGAGGTAGAGGCAAGATTTTAATCCAGTCCAACTCTAGAGTCTGTGGCCCAATCAGGAGCCCCAGGATGGTGCCAGGGACTGGTGACCTACCTAGAGTCGTACCTGCCATGGCGCTCTAACTTACTTGGGTGAAGATGAGAGCGTCATTCACTGCGCTGGCTTTTTACAAGGAGCGCTTGGATATAAATGACGATATGCTGAAAGTCTTTTTCCCCCTAACATGTTTCACAGGGAAGCTTGGCTCTGGCTCTCCAGGTGTACCCTTCAGTGGTCCCATCGCGGAAAATGACGTGAGTCTCCTTGCTGCAGCTCTGCGGATCCAGGTGTGTTCGACGCAGCTACTGGAGAATTTTGAGTTTGGAGCTTTGATTAATAGTGACTAATATTTTACTATTTGTGTGTGTGTGTGTGTGTGTGTGTGTGTGTGTGTGTGTGTGTGTGTGAAAAGATGCAGTATTAAGCACTTTGCACACCTACGTCCTTTAATTTTATTTCTCTGTGTGTGTTACTATTTAATAATTTGATAATTTGCTTACTCTTATATCAACTGTAGAAGGGTTATACTTGAAATGTTGCAATTTTTTTTAAAGTGTATTTTTAGTGAGGAAGGGAGAGGGAGAGAGAGAAACATCAACGATGAGAGAGAATCATCGATTGGCTGCCTCCTGCACACCCCCTACTGGGGATCGGGCCCGTAACCCAGGCATGTGCCTGGGTTGAACCTGGGAATTGAACCTGGGACTCTTCAGTCCGCAGGCTGATGCTCTATCCACTGTGCCAAACCGGCTAGGGTGCTGTTGCAAATTTTGGAAGCTAGGCATCCAGCCTGATTGTGCATATATTCTCATGTTTTCCTCATTTTTTCACTTCTAATGGAGATGAAGAACCCACTCTATAAATTTAATCTGTGCACTTGATGCCTTAGTGAACACTTAAACTATTTCGATAGTACATATATCTTATATTTTCCTTTTTAAGAAAAACCTACAAATTTAATTGCATGAGAATGAAAGTATTCCTGATAGTCACTTGAGTCGTTGTGCAACTTGATAATCATTTCCTGGCATGCCACCCCGGAGCAGTGTTTTCACAGTTCACACACAGGCCCCGTCAGCATTTACGTTTCTAACGTGTTTTCCTTCCCGTCCCTTCTGAAGAACATGGTTAGCAGTGGAAGGAGATGGCTCCGTGAACAGCAGTACACGCGCTGGAGACTTCACTGCTTGAAACTTCAGCCGCTCTCCCCAGTACCCAGGTACCCGGTGCTTTGTTTATACTGATGTCAGCTCATCCAGGTGCCTTAGGTCTCCACAGTGACCCACTGAGGGGGCATGCCTCGTGGTGTCATGCCCTCAATGCTAGATCATTTTATCGTTTAAGTACTCCCAAATTAAATAATAACGAACATGTTTACCATATCCTATCATTTCTAATATATGTGTGTTTTTTTTCATTTCTGAAATCAGTATGTACCTTACTGTCACTAATGTATATCCTGAATTAAATGGCAGTGGGGGTTTTTCTTAGTTGTCCATAAAATAATGATGCCTTAGATTTGACCAAATACAGTCATGTGATAATTGGAATATTCTTTTAATGTTAGAAAAGAAACATACGTTGTCTGGTTTTGAGGGCCGTGTAGGTTTCCACTCTGGGGGTAAATGGTCAACCCGGCCAAACACCAGTCCGGGTGGGGAGTGTCCAGCGTATGTGGGAGGATCCGCTGTCCCACAGGACGCTCTGGGATGGCCCCGGCAGATGTTTCCTTCGGAGTGGGCTTTGATGAAGTGTAAGCTACACGCTATCTATAAATTTGGAAATAGAAGCTGGAGAACAGTCTCAGCATTGTTAGCATAGTTAGATAAGATGTCTGAGCCAGAGGAGTGCTCTCTCCAGCCTCATAACGCGTGCTCTGTGGCTCCCCCGCCCCTTTCATCAGAGGCAGACACAATGCCAGCGCTTCCCCAGGTGATCCCAGCTTCTCCAGGTGATCCCATCGCCACTGTTGGGAAACAGTGTCAGTGGTTATTGACTAAGTTTTCGCTGGGTAACCAGTTGCGTTGTAGAATTGACCTGTTTCCCTGGGCAGTTCCTGAACACTGGTTCATTCGATTACATCCATGTTTCAGGCTGGTGAAACCCTCCAGGCGAGGCTTCCACCCCTGAAATAGACTAAACATCTTAGTCATCTTCTGTGTTCATTAATACATAAATCCCAAGGAATGTTGTTTTTCATAATATTATCCCTGTAGTTCTGGAATCTGTTTCATAAAATACTTTTCAAGTTACTTACGTCATTATAGGACCTTACTTTTTAAGAGTAAATGAGTAAATGTTTGAGATGGGCTCCCCCAAATTGTGTGCCACAATCTTTGCTTACATCAAAATAAATTGTCCTTGGGGGAAAGTGCTTTAATTGCTTAACCGAATTTGACTTCTAGCGCCACTGGGGAAAGAAAGGCAGGCTGACTAGTTTATAAATCACTAAGAAAATCATAATGATGTCACTACCACTCTTTAGCTAGGGAAAAGAAAACCTTGGACATTTTCCAAGAGAGGGCTCTTCAATTTAGGATATTGTGGCAGGAGAGAGAGAGAGTAAAAGGAGGGAAAGAGTGAGAGAGAAAGAGGGTAGCCTGGGAAGAATAATGAAGCAGGAGCATGGGCAGTGAGGGGGAGGAAAACCTAAGGGCATGGGAGAACCTGCCTGGAGGCACAGAGCTCAGTCCACATCTGCTGAGGTGCCCTGTCCCCTCTCTGAGCTGCCCTTGGGAGAAGGGGGCATTGGAGGTCGCTTTACTGTTATCTCGTGCACCGGAGTCCGCCCCCTGTGGGGTCATGGAGAAGAATGGGGTCCTGTGGCAGCTGAGACTAGATGTTAGCAGTAGAAACAGACCAGAGCAGGGAGCGACCCACTGCCAGAGGAGAGGGTGATCTGCCCCCCAACGCCGACTGTCGTGCCCCAAAATAGTGCTCCCGGGCCACTCCGGGAACTGGCTCCTGTCTTCTCAGTCCCTGATGCCTGCTCTCCCACAGTCTGGCTCAGGCCTGCTGGGTCTCTCAAACTGATGGCCTGCAGACAGATGGACGGCCTGAACCCCAGTAAAAACATGGCTGAGCTTAGGGGCCCCAGGGGCGCTCTCTGAGGAGATCAGCAGACGCTGGTTTTCACAGCACTCCCGAGAGATGCGCAGCGCTGTTCCCATCTTGCCGGATGAGAAAACAGAACCAAGTGTTTGCCCAGTGACACTCGGGAGCTCCCAAGTCTCCTATCCCTGAGGTTGAGCTTCGGACATGGGTCCATCACAGTTATGTAATTCATGAAATATTTTGAAATATGATTTTGAACTTGAAATAGGAAAGAGAGAGGGACAGTATGGACGCAGATAAAACAAAGTCACATTTACACATTTTTGGAGAGTGGCTCACCCAGTGAGAGCACTGTGCGGTAACCTGTCTGTTCCTGGTTAACGGATACAGCGACGACCCCTAGCATCGTGCTCTATAATAGATTTATACTTAAACGGGCACATTGTGATCTATAGCCTCCTCTCCTACGGTGTAGGTGTTTTCCTTGTACCCGGGCAGAATTCTAGGATCTTTTCCAGTTTCTCTAAAGCGATGCACCATTTTCTCACGTCCGTTAATTGTTAGCAGTTGTGCGTACCGCTGCTTGGGGGAAAGGACCACGAAGCCTTTCGCGTTGATTTAATTGTTGGCGTGGTGTGCGGCCATTTTTCACTCCAGCAGCGACCACCTAAGCTGAGAAGACTCTTGCCTCTTATGTGTTTCCCCCGCAGTGATATCGAGATTTCAAGAGCACAGACGCCAAAAGCTGTGGATGTCCTTGCCAAGGAGATAGGATTGCTTGCAGATGAAATTGAAATCTACGGCAAAAGCAAAGCCAAAGTCTGCTTGTCCCTGCTGGAAAGGCTAAAGGATCAAGCAGATGGAAAATACGTCTTAGTTGCTGGGTAAGACGGCTTTACGGCTCTTTTACTAAGACGACCTGTTTACCAAACTCTCTTCCCCGTGTACGTCCATCGTCACACCCCTCACATCCATCCAGTTCTCGCCTTTGACATTATCTTGTCCATTTCTCTTGGCATGCCTTCCTTTGATGAGCAGTGAGTTTTTCCTTCCAGTGCAAAAGAAATTAGTCTCCACAAAATATAAAGTGTAACAAGTCGCTAATTCAGTACTTCATTTTTTTGTTTCTCATATTGTGTTTTGATCACCCTTGCTCTCCACTTCGGATTTTTTCCTTTGTTTTTTTTCAGGATAAAATAACAATTGAAAGTAAGATATTTTGTATTGAGCAGAGCATTTTTTTAAAATATTTTTTTATTGATTTCAGAGAGGAGGGGAAAGAAATATATCAATGATGAGAGAGAATCATTGACCAGCTGCCTCCTGGGGATTGAGCATGCAGGCCAGGCACGTGCCCTGACGGAATCAAGCCGTGACCTTTAGGTTCATAAGCTGATGCTCAACCACTGAGCCACACTGGCCAGGCTGAGCAGGGCATTTTTTGTGTTCAACTTAGATTTTCCTATTCATGTCTTTACTCTTTCTTATAGATGAATTTGAATTATAAAAACTCAGTATTTGTCTTTCTTGCATGTCAGAATTAATGTTGGGCCATGCACAGTATTTATGAAAAGGAGCTTTTCCTTTTATTTTCCCTCTTAAAAAAAGAAATGCATTCCCTAGCTGAAAAATATGATAGAAAACAAAGGATTTCAAATATTTACTCAGTGTGACCTGAGGGAACATAGAGAGACCATATAAATTCCTCTGTTGTTTTAAATTTTCATTGCACGGGCTTGCTAATGATCTAGAGGCCAAAGCTGGAGGCACAAAAACCTCTTAACACTCAGAGATGTTTCTGATCATTGGACTTGACTCATAGTTAACTTTCTTTTCACATATTTAATTGTGGATGTTAGTGCTTTATTCCCTTTTTCTGATTATAAAAATCATGCATACTCATTGTGAAAGTATCCCAGAAAGTATAAACAAGAGAGTGAGACATCCCAGCTCCTAGCACCCAGAGGGAACAACTGTTAACATCTGAGACCATCTTGACACCGATGCAGTCACTCATAAATGAGGTCACTGACACTGCTCTTCTGGGGGTGGCGGAGTGTTCAGCAGTGTGCTGTGCCCTGTCAGTCATTGCGGAGCCACGTCATCGTTGTTCATGACTACATACCATTGCACCCTTAATAGCCCAGATTCTTCAAGTGCCGGGAAGGGGGGTCCCCGGCAGAGCGGGTGGTAGAAATGCCTGAGATGAGGGTGGGTTCCATTTTCCACATCTTCCCGGCACCGAGAAGCGCTGCTGTGGCCCAGCCACTGAGGGACCAGCATGTGTCTACTGCTCCAAGTACGGAGGCGGGAAAATGATCGGAGAACATCTTAGGGATGTCCCATCATTCATTTAGCCAGTTCTCTATTGCTGGGCACTTAAATTGTTTCCCGTTTTTGGCCATTATAAACTGCTAAAATCACCAGCCTTGGGCATGCGTATTTGTGCATTGGTCCAATATCTCCTTAGGAAAGATCCCTAGAGGTGAATTCAGTGTTGCAAAACTACAAATAAATATAAAACTACCAAAAAATCAAGATACCATGCATCATGTCACCTCTCCAAGGGCATCCTGATTGCTTCATATTTCCTCCCTCCATCCTCTTCCCCCTTCTCACCCCTCCTTGTCTCCAGCTCCTGTTACTATTTTGTAAGAGGAGTGGGCAGTCAGGGTCTGTCAGAGTCACTGTGGTTTAAAGGAATTCATACCTTGTTGCAGCATCTCAGGTGCCTGTGGCTTAAACCTCCTTCAGGCTGCCTGGCTCCCTTATAGTTGGACTCCCCACCCTAATGGGGTTCTTTCCAAGCTAGGCCTCCCCCTGGCCCTCCCTCCCCAATGTCGCCCAACTGAGCTGCAGGAGAGCTCCACGCTGAGGGATGCTGGTCTGTCTGCAGGCCCCTGGGGCCAGGATGTGAAGGAGCCCGCTGCCTGGGGGGCTCCGGGTTCCTGAGTTGTCATTGCACATCTAGTCGGTTTTGCTTTATGCTCATAATGCTTGATGCAAGTTTGTTGATAGTGAATAAGCAAACTTGGGTGTGGAGAACTTCCAAATTCAGCGTCTTATCCACGGATTTGCTTTCCTTCTCCCAGGCCTTGGGTGATCTTGGTGGTGGGTTTGCTGCCTGTCTCACCCCGATTAGGGTAGGAGGACTTAAAGGAAAACGCAGAGGACATGTTCTCAGTTTTATGAAGGAAAAGTCTGCTGCATTTTCTCATGTGGAGTGGCCGTGGTTTATCTGCTTTGGGCGCCTGAATATTGGAAATGAAAACACAAGCGTAGACATGACCCTTCTTAGCCAGGAACACAGAATCGATATTTCTAAAGCGAAAGCTCTGGCGGTGTTGTTACCAGGTTCCGAACTGGAAGCCCTTCTGCCAAAGCCTGGCCTCCGGCCTCACACCGGAGCATGACCACCGGCCTGGCCGGCTGGGGTTACAGCCCCCCGGGGCCCGCCCCCAGGAGAACACTGCCCTGCGCAGTCTCTGTGTCTTGTTTGTGTGCAGTTGAGCTGAGGAAGCCAGGCTGCCGTGTTGTGGATAGGGATGGAAATTATACCTGAATTCTCAAGTACAGATCTGACCCAAGAGATGAGTTCTTTTTCTGAAATTGTGGTATAAGTTCCCTGCTGAACAAAGGGCCCAGGAAGCAACAAAAATTAAACTGTGTTCCTTTCAACTGCGTTGGGAAAGAACAAAAGCTGCCAGGGTGGGATTTTGAGATATAAGTGCATCTGTTGAGTAGCATGAAGGTGCTTGGTAATATACACCCACTGTGTTCTGTAGGAGGAACAGACCTCCCCTGTCAGCACAACAAATGATGCTGAAGTGAGTAAACTGCCTTTGTTGTCTAATTGTTTAATAGCTGGGTGCTTAAGATTAGTTTAAAGCATAGACATTTTACTTATAATCTAAAATGAGTTCATTTTTTAAAAAATATATTTTATCGAATTTTTACAGAGAGGAAGGGAGAGGGATAGTTAGAAACATTGATGAGAGAGAAACACCGATCAGCTGCCTCCTGCACATCTTCCACTGGGGATGTGCCTGCAACCCAGGTACATGCCCTTGACCGGTATCGAACCTGGGACCCTTCAGTCCGCAGGCTGACGCTCTATCCACTGAGCCAAACCGGTCAGGGCTAAAATGAGTTCCTTTGAAGTAAAAATCACCTCTATATTTTTACTTTTGATCAAGTTAGTGATGGGAAAGTGACATTATCAAACCATTGTACACTTCTTTAGAAATATAAGTTTTCCATTAAATGGAAACTTTTTCAGAAAGGCTTTTTTATTCTGAAAATAATTTTGGCTCATTGTATAAAAATTTAACAGAAAGAAGAGGAAAAAGAAGGAGAAAACAAAATTTCTCATTATCCAGAAGTGTTAAAATTGGTTAGATTTCCTCCCAGGGTTTTGTCCATGCATTCATCCTTTTTACACATTGAGATCATGCCGTAAATACCACTTCATGTCCTGCCTCTTTGTCTGAATACTGTAACATAAAGCTTTTCCCATGCTTTAGAGTTCAAACGCCCACGTAATGTTTAAATAAACTTTAAAAATAACAATATATATTTGTTATTATACATTTCAATTTATGTGTAAATGCGATTTCAATATATCAACAGCAGGATAACTATAAAACAGTGGATTAACATTTTTTTCTACTAGTAATAACCCAAATGCAGAACAGATTAATTCGCTTTAAAAAGCTATTCTTCAAACTTTAGAATTTCTTACTCTGTCAGAATCATCTGTATTTCATCAGCTACACATCGCATGGTATTTACACCTACACATCACTTTATTTGCTTTGCCTGACAAAATGAAAAGTATTGGGAATTGTTCAGGGAAATATGCCAAAAGAATCTTAGGGGCTCTTGAGTTTTACATATTTTCCCAGTTACACTAATGAAAAGGAATTTGTTTGAGAACTTGACTCGGAGTGCAGCTGTAGGGCATTGGATATGTGTGCAGGAGCAGTCTCCATTGGCCCTTTACTGATTTCTGTGCAGAAGTTTCTAGAACTTCTCTGAATTGCTTGGACAGAGCAGTTTAAAGAGAAGCCCAAATCGGTCTGTGAAGAGACTGAGTTTCACATTAAAGAAAAGTTAAAATCTTTTACATCGCTTTTTTTTTCCTGTAGAGTGCCAAATACCTGATTGGATTTTCTTCTTTTCTTTTTCTTTTTCCTTTTTTTTTTTTTTTCTATTTCAACTCCTTATTTTAGTCTGTGTAAAAATAACCTTTATTGGCTTTTCTAAGATGATGCTTTTCTGCCTTGGATAAGGATTTAAACATCTGTGAGTTTTCCTTTTATTTGCGTTATTTGCGCAATAAAACAAAGGTATTTAGAAGAAACCACGACAGGACCTTTGAACTCTTTACCTCAGTCACAGGCAATGGAAACAGCCCAACGGCCCGTGGAGTGTATCGGCCTGTGGAGTGTATCGTTAGGTAGTAAAAGGCTTGTAGAAGCCCTTCCCCATCGGGAGGATGCCTGGGGTGAGTGATATATATTCGCGTGCTGTTTGAGCATATAGTTGGCAATTTGTGGGTAGATCCATGGCTAATGGCAATAATGCTGTTTAGCAAGATTCTAGATTTTGAGACCAGTTCAAAGTTTTACCACTGCATAAGCCATGTCTTTGATCTTTGAGTAAGTGGTAAACTTCTTTCAGATCATGTCCAAGTTGGCACCGAGCACTTCAATAAATTTTTACTCTTGTTAACAGTAAACATTTATCTCAGAAAAAGCGTTGAAATTCCTTCGTCTACCGTTTTGTGCTCATCTGCACCTTAGACAGGTGACTGGGATGCGATGAGAATGGGCATAATCCCTCCCCTGAGCAAGCTCATGGCCTGGCAAGCGAGACAGACATGTCAGGAAGCTTATAAAAATGCCCTCTGGAAAGTTCTAGAATAAACACATACTAAAGGGTGTGGGGTATTAGAGGGAGCGGACCAGTCAGCTGGGGGAATTGAAGAAAATACTGAACAAAAATCACAGTTCTGTCTCCATAAACCCTTAGCTCCTATAGAAAAAGAAAGTAGGTTGACATGGTGCTTGTTTTCTGTGTCAGCCTGATAACTTGGAATCTGAGCTAAGGACATGGGGACAATAGTTAAACCACATTTTGATGCCATATGCAGCAATGAGGTGACATAAGTTTTTATTGTAGCTCTCCTTTTATTGCCCCCAATAAATACTTCCTACTTTCCGATTCTCCTGACTTGTAATCGTTGGCAGAAAGCTAAGCAGTCCTGTGTTTCTAATTAAGAGTTGGATGGTGAGCTGGAGTTTGGAGGAGGTCATCTCTGGGCGGGTCTGCTCTTGGCTGTCTCCAGCAGCTCTGTTAGCATATCCTTGGAACGGAAAATGTAATCCTTCGTGTGAAGTTTAAGTAAACCACCGATCCCTTTGCAAACAGTAAGTGCTCAGTTAAACAGAAAGTTCACTCAGAGCATAAACACCTTCCTGACTTTGAGTCTCCGTGTCGACCAGGTCTCATGTGGCGGGGAGAGTCTGAGGGGGACTTCACCAGGCTCCTCTCAGGTTGGCTCACCCGCTCCCTGCCAGCGACCTCCTTGATGCTAAATCCAGTGACCTGCTTCTCGGTCCTCACTAGGCTTCAGACCTCTTCAAACTCGACACTGCCTTGGTTTCTTTCCAAGACTCCCTGTTGCTCCCCTCCTGCTCCCTCAAGGTTTCTTCCACTGCTCCTTCTTAGCTTCCTTTCGCTCTCTCTTCTGACTATTCCTTAAGAGAAAAACCTTCTTAACAATTTTGTTTTTATCTTTTTTCTTACTCTGTTCACACTCGCTGACTGATCTTACCCATTCCTATCCATAAAAATAACCATGTGATAATCAGCCTGTGTAGCTTGGTGGTTGAGCGTTGACCTCTGAACCAGGAGGTCATGGTTCGATTCCCGGTCAGGGCACATGCCCGAGTTGTGGGCTCGATCCCCAGTGTGGGGCATGAAGGAGGCAGCCCATCAACGATTCTCTCTCATCATTGGTGTTTCTGTCTCTCCCTCTCCCTTCCTTTCTGAAATCAATAAAAATACATTTTAAAAAAATAATAATAACCTTGTGAGGTAAGAATATTTGACTGGGTTTGATTTCCAGTTCTAATTGTGTGACCTCGGGCAAGTTCCTTAAATGCCTTGTGCCTCCATTTCCTCACTTTTCAAATGGGACTAAAAATAATGAACCCAATGACTATAACACAGAGCCTAGCATATTAACCACCCCAAACCCACCCTCAATTGTATCTGGCTGTACCTAGTCATTTGTCAGGTCTCAGTTTAGATATTACTTCCTCCAGGAAACCTTCCCTGATGTTCCAAATCTAGTTAGATCCTCCTTCCGTGGGCTCTCATAATGCAATTTAACTGCCCTATTTCCCATTCATTGTAATTGCTGATTTATCTGTCCATGTGTCTCATTCATCATGAGCTCTGTGAGGGCAGTGATGGAATCCAACTTGGACATCAGTGTATCCCCAGGGACTAGGAGCCTGGCACATAGCAGTACTTAATACATAGTTGCTGAATGAATGGTTGATTGCATGGCTCTGGTGGTCTGAGATAGTTGGGGATGATGTCTCTAAGGGTATTACTTCTTCGTGGTCACATCACTAGATTTTGCAAGTCAGAAAACCCAATCATCAGTTTTGTTGTGGTCGAGTATCCTAGGCAGCCTGACTCACACCATCTGACTCATAGAAGACAATATTGCAAGCCCAAATGACAGTTTTAAAAACTTGTCACAGTGGTTAGAATAGGCTAAGGAACAGGTTTATGGGGCCTCACATGGGAATGTAATGCACGCCTGTCCTATCACGTAACACTGTGGTGTTATGTATGAACGTGTGATGTGATGTTGGGTGTTGGGTGTTGTAGCCAACAATAAGCTCCCCAGTGCACAGGTGGTCTTAGCGCACCGAGGAGCTTTGGACTTACTCTTTTTAACTATTTGAGGGGCTGTTGTAGGGGAGGAATGGGGCTCCCTGTGTCTGACTCCAGGAGAGAGGAGGCTACACGAAGCAGACATCTCTTCCCGAGGGCACAGAACTTCCTCGCTGTGAAAGCTGTCAGTCCAGAAGAGATGAGCCGCCCGAGGGCAATGGGCGCCCATTGCCGCTTGTTTTCAGACTCGGCGGGGACAACCCTGGGCACTGATTTCTAAAAAGGGAGGATGGGTGGGGACATAGGGTCCCTTCTAATCCAGGGGGTTAAGCTGTGCCCCACTCACTCATGGACCACTGAGGCAGCCCCTGTGCCCACATCATGTCCCCAGTCAATGGCCCTGGAAGAACAAATGCCAAGTTACCCATCAGCAAGAAGCGACATGAGCTTAATTTCTGAAACCCTTTGATGTAGGGTTCTATGTGGCTTCTTGAAGTTGATGTTATGAGCACCACTGCCAAATAGCTTCTTTTTTTTTTTTTTTTTTTGGTAAAGTTGTGTCTGTATCTTGACTAACATAAGCATGGCCTGTGTGGCATGGGTAGACCATAATGGTTCAAGAAAACTGATTAAGTGACTTTAGAATGGTATGTTCTCTCGTATGTTCTCTCCTCTGATTAGGCTTTTGTACCTTAAGTTTATTTTATAGGCTGTCTAGGAAATATTATTAAATTCACTATTATTTTTCCCCCCTCCCAAATCAGGATCACGCCCACCCCTCTTGGAGAAGGGAAAAGTACAGTGACCATCGGGCTCGTGCAGGCACTGACCGCACACTTAAACATCAACTCCTTTGCCTGTCTAAGGCAGCCTTCGCAAGGGCCAACTTTCGGCGTTAAAGGTACTTGATTTAAACAACTAGCGTATCTTTCAGAGCAAAATTGGGGGGTAGGAATTTTCTTAAAGTCTAAAAAGAACATCATCAACAGATGTGGAGTTAAAACTTATCAGAGGAACTAGTGCGTTTTATCCCTACATGCACCCCCTCCTCTATGCTCTGTAGGTGAAGGTCGCCCTGAGTTGGTCCTGCAGAGGGCGCTGTAGTGGGGGGTTTAGTGGCACCCCCAGCCCAAGAAGCTGATCCCCTTGGTTTCCGTGGACAGTGGTCAGGCTCTTGCTCAGGAGTCCAACCTGCAGTGGAAGTCTTCTGTTTCACCAAAAACTTCTTTGCCAAGCGACTTTGAAATTCTGCTATTTATATTGGTGTTTTATCATCCCAGCCATGGCGAAAGGTCTTTCCATTCATGCGGCTAGAGACCCTTCCGGTCGGAGCCCAAGCCTCACCCTTTTCGGAGTTGCTGTGTGGGGCCTGAGCAGCTCTGGAACTGGCTGTGGACGGAGATGTGATGGAATTCCTCTTTGGCAGTGGCTGGGCTGATATTTGGCACCATCCCATTCACTACTCTTTCTTCATTGATTTATCTTGAAATTGTTCTCCAGCTCACTGTACAATAGCATCTATTGCTTTAATTACCGTTTCTTCTTGGCGCTTTGTCGTTTTTAGCAGTATTATATTTATATTACTCTTGTAAATATTAATAACTAGTAATTCATTAAGTCCTGATAACTCATAGAATGTCATGCAGTGGAATGAACACTAGACTTGGAGCAAGAAGGCTGAGATTTTATTCATGGCTGTCTCTTACTGCTGTGTGACCTTTAGCCAGTTATAACCGCTCTGAGCTGTGGCTGTAGAATTGTAAAAAGTCATAAGCTAGGCTTACCAGGTTATTGTGAGGACCAAATGAGACAGTATAGAAAAGACAGGATAAACTATAAAATGATATGGACATGGAAGATATCATTATCGTTTTGGGAAAAATTAGTCTTTTTAATGTAATGGCTTTACAATTTTGAGGGATAAAGAGCATGGCAGATCTTATATATTATCATCTAAGATAAAATTAAGTTTATAATGTGTTAGTCTGAGTTTATCAGACGGATTTTTTTAGCCAAGTTTTTTGATACTTCAGTGCATGTGCAACTTAAATGAAGCATAGCCCCAAAGATACAATAAATTAAGAAAACCGCATGTTTGCTGCAATAACATTCGCAATATTATTTTTACCCTTTTTTAAAATGAGGAAAATGAAAGTCTTAAATTGCAGAGTTGGACATGGTGTGAGCTTTCCCCCCTCCTGTCCTACTTTGATAAATGGTTCATGTTTCCCACTGGCTGTTATTTCATCTTGGGGGTAGGTGACTCCCCGTTGGGTGTGAGGAGCCGTGTCCCTGGGGCTCTGTTCCTCTGTGTAGCTGCCCTTGGTGACTCCTTTTAAATGGTGCCCGCTCTGTTGTTTAGGAGGCGCTGCAGGTGGCGGCTATGCGCAGGTCATCCCCATGGAGGAGGTAAGATCTCAAAGGGACACGTGTCGTATGTCACTTTTTTTTCTGTGCTCCCATAAACACAGGCCCACAGTCCTCAATTCCAGCATCCTGAAGGCCCCGAAAACCAAACCCAGCCTTGATTGTTATGGTCTGTTTATGGATTTTGTCTGTGCAGTTGGTGTAAACCTTCATATATTTTGCTGTAGAAATAGTGTTTTTGATGAACCGATGTTGACCGACACCCTGCTTGGGGTGTTTTTAAGTAAGTTATACGTACATCACATCACTTCTCTAAATTCCAAAAAGTTCTGAATCCCCAAACCCTCCTGGCCTCAGGTTCTGGATGAGAGGAAGCAGGCCTGTGTTGCCTACCAGCTAAGGTATAAACTATTATGGCATGTTCTCAATACTTCACATTATAAATATTATAACATATTTGCACATATTTAATTTTTCATATTTTTAGTGATCATATATTTTGTTACAAAATCAGACTTTAAATACAAAATATAAATAGTTAACCTTCCAAGAAATGTAACTTAAAGCAGAACACCACTTTTTCAAATCAATTAACTTATTTTTTTAGCCCAAAGTTGCTTTGTTTCTGAAGTAACTGGTAGTGTTTTTTAGGTGGCACTTCCACCCTTTCAAGCAGCAATGTGGTGAGACCACCAAGTCCTTTAACCCCATAACCGCACTGCTGGAAACATTGGTTATTAGCAATTGATTATTTAAAAACAAAACAAAAAACTATTTGCATGTATTTTTGGAAGCCACAGACTGCATAGTTTTGGTACTTTTCTCAATTATACAGCCCCTATAAATTGTAACTGTACATAAACAACATTATTACATAATAATGAGGTGTTTTTTTAAAGCAGGTAGCAAATTATAAATATGCCAATTTTACACATATGACTGTATGTACATAAGACTAGAAGGAAATAGCAGAATTAATAGAGTTGTGAGAATGATATTTTTTTTGTTTCTCAGACTTTGTGTCATATTTTCTGTTATACTGTTGTTGCTGTTTGTTTCATGCCCTGCCTCCTTCCAAAGTATATTTGATACGATATCATTTTCTAACACACAAAACAATGCATAAAAATGGAAATAAGGAAAACAGAATAAGGAAACCAATCACTAAATTATCAGAACCCTTCACCTTTATCCTGAGAAAGAAAGAATTTGGGACAGGAAGTCTGTTCAGGAGTTCTTTATTGTCAAGTGGAAAACGCTGACATTGATTTTCTGATTTAGGCCGTTTTATGGGCTCAGCTTATCATGAGGATATGTAATTAGCATAATGTTTTATTTACTCAGAAAGTCCTTGAATACTGCCACGGTTGTTTAAAACAAGTAGAAAGATGTTTTCATTTCCTATGTAGTTCAACCTTCACTTGACCGGGGATATCCATGCCATCACTGCCGCCAATAACTTGCTGGCTGCTGCCATCGACGCAAGGATTTTTCACGAAAACACTCAAACTGACAAGGTGAGAAAGGTTTCTTGTTGGCTGTTTGGGGCATCTTGTCCTAGGACTCCTGGATTCTTAAGAAGTTTATGAGTTCTCTGAAATGGTAGTCCAAATTTTGTGAATTTATGTATGTTCTTATTTCTGGGGGATAGGTTCTATACTTTGGTCAGATTCTCAAGTGAGTTTATAACCACTGCTAAGTTGTTGGGAGGGTTATGTCGGTTGTACTTTTTAAGCCAAATATTCTTTGAGACGAGCCTGTAGTTTTTAAGGTGGTCGGTGTGCCACTTCCCTTCATTCTGTCCATAGGTCTAATCTCTTCTCTATACTAAGGGGGTTGGAGTGATAGCTTTTTAAGACTAATGTTACATGCAGCTGTCCTAGGTGTGCTGTTAAAAAGGTCAGACCCCCTTGTCTGGCCTGTGTGGCTCAGTGATTGAGCTTTGTCCGATGAACCAAGAGGTCACAGGTTCAGTTGCTGATCAGGGCACATGCCAGCGTTGTGGGCTCGATCCCCAATAGAGGACATGCAGGAGACAGCCAATCAATGTTTCTCTCTCATCGATGTTTCTATCTCTCGCTCTCCCTTCCTCTCACTCTAAAATCAATTAAAAAAGGAAAATAATTTTTTAAAAGGTCACACCCTCTTGATGGGCTTCAGGTGCATGCAGTCTGAGAGGTAAACCATACATCTGGAAGCGACAGGGCACCAGGTGCTAATTCCTCATAGACACGGACATGGGTAAAAGTAGGCGTTTCTGGCACTTTTATAGGGGTCCCGACTACCTCCAATTAAAGTAACTTTCTAGTGAGTTATTGAAACCAAACTCAGATAAATATTAATTTGATAGTTATAAGGCTGTAGATGAAGAAACATCTATTTATGCAAACTCTTTGCAATGTGCATTATGTCAGATCGAGGCAGATTTATGAAAATGACAGAGCTTAAGGCTACATCGCTTATCGTAGCCAAGAATTTTAATAGGGCCTATAATCTAAACAGTTTGGTTATAAATGTAATGAACTTTGTTGTATCCTGTGAATTGTCCAAGTTCATGGTTGGCCCTTTAACTCCTGTGGCGTTTTATTTTTGTTTTGTGTTCTTAGTCTCTGTACAATCGCCTGGTTCCTTCGGTGAATGGTGTTCGAGAATTTTCAAACATTCAGCTTGCTCGGCTGAAGGTAAGTGTCCAGTGAGTGGTTCTTTAAAAGGAAAATATCCCAGAGGAAGCAGAAAAGCGGTCAGAGCCAGAAAGTTTGAACCTGGTTTGGATTTGGTTTTGAGCCACTCTTTGGGGTATTAAACGCTACAGAGAGCACAGAACTGGAAGCCTGGGACCTGCATCCCACACCAAACAGCAGGGCGGACAAATCGGGCCTCGGGATCTTCCTCGATGAATGAGAGGCCTGCTCTGCCGGCCTGGAGTGCCCGAGTCAGCAAGCACGAGGATCTGCAAGAGCCCTTCTCTTTTGTGAAATGTCTTTACTTTCTAGGGAACGAGACACAGCCTTTTAAAATTCATCTATTTCAGTTTCTGTTGTAGCAAAATACTAAGCAATCTTTTTTTTTCTGTATTTTGTTGTTGTTTTTTACTTGTCAATTACAGTTGACATGATACTAAGCAATCTTAATTCTTATTCACATTACTATTTTCTAGGGCTCTTTGCTGCTTGTCCTACTAATCACATTCATTTCCCCTGGCTCTTTTTCAGACCCTAGATACTACCTTTAATGGTATAATTTTTAGCCACTGCCTGGTAATAATTGGTTTTTAAAATTCACTCCTTTGCTTCTTACCACATTGGGTTTGCTGAGAATAACACACAACACCCCTCCCCCCCTGCAGCTACAACATAGATGGTATGTTGTCCAGATGCCTTCTTTATCCTTCTTCATTAAAAGCCACTGTCTCAGAATGCTTCCTTTGTAGGGACAGATGCATTAACAATTTCAGTGGGTTCTTTCTCAGTGAATTAGAAATAACTAGTTTTGAAAACACAGACATTGAGTTTACTTGAATTATTGGTATTTGAATTGGAAAAGAAGAACAGATGAACTGGAGCATCAGCCATACAGCCAGCGGTTTATGTCCCTTCCGGGCACAGCAAGGTGACCAGGGAGAGGGGCCCAGAACCTCGGCCAAGACGGTGCGTGCCCTCTGGGTGCTGCCAACTGCCTTACATTTTCAGATCTGCCATGTTAAAGGGTATATTACACATATCATTGCCTTCTGCTTACAGGAGATACTGGGTCTCAGGCACTGATTTCTGTGAGTTGGCCTCGCCTACAGTTGACTCAGAGTTCCAGTTCAGATTCTAAAAAGGCTTTCCTAGTCATGGAGAAAATAAAGGAAGAGGGACCATTTGGTTACATCTTGCTTTCTGTTCCTTCTAATACATAGCGCACCTTTTGTTCTTGGTCATTAGAAACTGGGAATAAATAAGACGGATCCCAGCGCACTGACAGAAGAGGAAATGAGCAGATTCGCCCGTCTCAACATCGACCCCCCCACCATCACGTGGCAGAGAGGTGGGTGCTGATCACCAGGTCAGGAGGCGGCCATGTCCCAGCTGACACTCTCCAAGTCAGCTTCGCAAAGGCTTGGTCTTCCTTCTTCCCATTGTCCGCCCAGCTTGTGTTCCCTAATTCCTCCATTTATTTAGAATCCCATCCCCATCTCTCATCTCTGCCTCCTGTTGAGGAGGAAAGGCTGTGCCCCTTCAGCCAACTGCTCATCAGGGCTCAGTCACACCCACTCCCACGCCTTCCACGTGTCCAAGGAAAATTACTTCACTTTCTTCTTTATCTCTTACAGCCTGTTGTCCTATATTTTTTTAAGGCCTGTGTCTTACCCGCCCTCTCTATCACAACATTAAGTTCTTCCTTTCATTTTCTTATCACCATTCTAAGTAGCTCTTAAATCTGTATTTTCAGTTCTGAATTTTCTCTCTGAGTTTAGCGCATGCTTCCAGCCATTTATGGGAATACTCTCTAACACTTCAAGTGCAACACGGGGGCCTCCCCATGACCTCCGTCCTGGTCCCGCCCTTCCCGTTCCCCTCTTAGCTGGGACACCTCCCCCTCCCCCTGCACTGCCCTTTGTGAGGGTGGGACAGAGGGGAAGAGCATGACACGTGGGGTCAGGAGCCCCCAGTGTGTGTCTCCCCCCCCGGCCACTAACTCACTGCATGACCCTGAGCAGGCCACGTGCGTGTTCTGGGCCTCAGGCCTCTGGAGATGGCAGTGGAGATGATCACATACGCTTACGGGAACGTGGTGGTAGCACTGATGGCCAAGGCGATGCCGAGGGTTAGAAGATGGGCTTTCCGGTCCTTCCTGCATGGTTCATCTGAGACCTGCCCACCACGTTCCCCGATTCCGCCCACCTCTATTTTTATCACGTGCCTGCTCTATTGCGGTTCCTTCAGTAGATAGTCTTGCTTTCTCTCCCATCCCCCAATTCAGTGAGTCGGGGAACAGGAGGTGGGCACGGTGGGCAGGTCGGCTAGTGCCGTGTGCCTGAAAGGCAGGGTCAGCGTTTCATCCCCCAGGACCTCCTCCCCATCCCCCCGTCAGTGTCAGGTTGTACATTTGGTAAACGATCTACATTGTCAGTGTGGACAGCTTGTTATTTGAAGCCTCATGCATTATTAGTGAAATCTCAGCCCTTCTGGCATTATAGATTTGGTTTTCACTAAACCTAGTCTAGTTTTCACAATCAAAATGCAAATCGGTGCAATTCAAACAAGCCAATAAAAAAATGAGATTTGGTGCCTGCGCGACTCAGATTGACTTCACCCCCACACACACCCTTTACTCCTTTATTTTTTTATTGTGGTTATATATGCCTGTCTCATTTTAACCATTCATTAGTGTGCAATTAGTGCCATTGGATACATCCACAAGGCTTACAGTGATTACACCATCACCACTGTCTATACCCAAAACATTTTTATCTTCCCCAACAAACACTCTGCACCCATTAAACAATAACTCCCCTTCTACCAGCCCCAGGTAACCACAATAATTAGATAGACACATAGTCATATAGTAATTGTCCTTCTAGCGTATTTTATCATGCCTGTTTTCAACGTCCGTCCATGTTGTAGCATATATCAAAAGCCCATTCCTTTTTATGTCTGTATGATGTTCCATGTATGTGCATGTAACATTCTGCTTTTTCATTCATCTCTCAGACATTTGGTTGTTTCCGCCTTTTGACTGTTGTGAATGATGCTGTATGTACATGGGTGTGCACCTGTCCAAGTTCCCGCCTTCTTTTTGGTTGGATATGTGTGTAGAGGTGGACTTGATGGGTCATGTGGTGGCTCAGTGATTAACGTTGTGCGAAACTTAATTGCCTTCTTCTTTTGACTCAGGTTTCAGCATAATAGGTCACCCCTTCAGAAATGCTTTTCCTAACTGCCTCGTCAAAAAATGAGGCCTCGCCCAGCCTGTGTTGCTCAGTGGTTGAGCATCAACCTATGAGCCAGGAGGTCACAGTTTGATTCTCAGTCAGGGCACATGCCCAGGTTGCAGACTCAGTCCCCAGTGTGGGGCATGCAGGAGGCAGCCGATCGAAGATTATCTCTCATCATCGATGTTTCTCTCTCCCTCTCCTTTCCTCTCGGAAATCAATAAAAATATCTAATTTTTAAAAAATGATACCTCACCCCACTGGTCCCCTGACAAGCACCGTCACCTCACCTCCTTTATCTTCCCAGGGCACTTAGCACTGGCTGATACTTTCTTGTGTGTTAGATCCCTCCCTGTGTCTGCCCACTGGAGTGTCAGCTCCCGGGAAGCTGGGCCTCGTCTCTTGCCTCTACTGCTTCCCCAGCCCTCAGAACACGGCCAGACGCACACCCGGCCGCCAGTCCGTCCTTGCCTGAATAATCTGTTCTCTTCTCTTTCAGTATTGGATACCAATGACCGGTTCCTACGGAAAATAACGATCGGGCAAGCCAGCACGGAGAAGGGGTACTCCCGGCAGGTGCGTGGCCTGTCCTCCACAGGAGTGGCTCTGTTCTTAGTAGCCTTGGTTTACAGCAGCGTAGATGCCAATTCTCTGCTGTTCTCTTCTCCTTCCTCTCCCCGCAGAGGCCAGGGGTCTCCCACCTTCTCCAGTGTCGTTTCCAATCCTCAGCAGGACTCGGGGGGTCGGAGGGCGGGAAGACTCCTGTGTTTTCTTCCCATCCTTTTCTTGTGTGGGTTTGGTTATGTTTCTGGGCTGTGCCGCTCAGGGTGTCCCCGGAATGTCAATCCTAACATATTTTATTGCAGACCCAACCCAGTTATTACTACAGCTGCATGACAACTAAAATTTGAAAATCTCAGGCACATTACTCAAATTTAAAAACTAAAGAAAAAAAAGCACCTTGGTATTTGGCTGAATAGCCTGAGGAATTTGTAAGGGTAATGTTCTATTACTCAAATCCAGAGAATGTGGAAGATAAATTATGATGTCCACCTTCATTTTAATAGGCCTCCAGTGTGGGGCCATGGTGCTTGGGGAATATAAATTCATTCCATGAGTTTTTATCTAGGCAAAATAGGCCTCTAAGGAATATTTTTGGTAATAAACCTTATATTTTAGGACAGTTTTAGATTTATGATTTTACATTGTTAACTTTTTTTAGTGAAAAAAATCACTTTTACTCTAGTATAAAGAAGAGATGATTTTGACATTAAAAAATTAAAATCTTTAGCATGAAAAAAATAATGTACAAAAGCATTAGAAGACCAGTAACAAACTGGAAGAGAGCATTTGCAATATATATAAAACAAAGGGTTGATGTGCCAAACACAAAAAGAACTTCCACAAAGTAGTACTCAGATATTGCTCTCATGAAGGCCTTTCCTGTCACCTTTTTAACACTATTATAGCTCCTGTCCCCAAACTCCCTCTGTCCCTTTCTTGCTGTCCTGACTTACCGTGTTTATCTTCTGCCCCCTTATTAAAATGTGAGTTTCCTAAGGGCGGAGGTTTCTGTCTCTTGTTACTGCTGTATTCTCAGCGTATAGAACCTGGTTACATGGTAGGAGTAGATATTCGGTAAATATTTGCTAAGTAAGTGAATAGAATAAATACAAGACAATTTATAAAAACAGAAATAAAATGCCAATAGGTAATCATGAAACTGCAAATTAAAAAACAGTGCAGTATTATTTACCTATGAGCTTATCAAAGCATAACCCATTGGAGACTTTTATACAGGATTAGTGGGTATATAAATTGGTGAAGCCTCTTCAAAGACAGTTTGTTAGTATTAAGTTTTGAAATTAGCCAACAGTTTCAACTCCAGGACTATAAATGTTAAAGAAAAAGGAGGATGTAGGGAATATTTTCATATGTGCACAAAACATCTTTGTATAAGGATATTACTTGCAGCATTTTTTGTAATGGAGGCAATTTTAAACAATCCAAACGTTTATGAGTAGGAGTGGTTACGTATCTTTGGTGCCTGCTTCTATACAGATAATGTGGCAGTTGAAAATGATAAAGTATACATAGGGGGAGAGACATGGGGCTCTCATATCATTGTGAAATGGAAAGGTTTAAAGAAACTAAAAAATTTATTGAAGTGAATACAAAATGTAATCACCTTTATGTTCAGAAGAGGCCAGCATACATGATCGTATATGTATATAAGCACATAAAATGGAAGCTGGTAAGATGTATACCAGCTTCTGACCTAGTTGTATCGGGAAAGAAAGCGGGTAGTAAGGAAGGCCTTTCACATTTTCTCTGCATGTTTCTGTGCTGTGACTGGGCATTGTCACAGTATAAAATAGGAGAGATTAATAATGGCTATGATTTGAATGCCTTGTATTGATAGGCTCATTATATTCAGGCGCACATTCAGTTTGTACATCTGGTTTACAAATGAGATTTGTTATATCTTGTAGTGTTTTATGGATTCGTGTTTTTAAGTAAAAAGGGATTATATTTAAAAACTTCAACTGCTTCTTTTAGACCATAAGACCCTGTTAAGGACATCTTTTTATGTCATAAAGGGAGATCTGTGTGATCGCTTTTTAATGGCTGTAGAATATCTCGACTTGGAGATGTGTCATCCTGGATTAAGCAGTTCCCTGTAATGGACACCTAGGGTGTTTGCAGTGCTGAGCTAGCATCGATAAGCTGATATCCTCAACGGTAACATACACACAGATTTATGTGAATTCTTAGAGATGGTATCCTTAGGACAGGTTCCAGGGCCCCTAATTGCAGAGTCAAAGAGGGCACAGATTTCAAATGTGGATGCATAATGATTTCCATGTTACCTTCCAGAAAGGCCATGTGGATTCGCGTCCTTGCCAACATTGCTTAATGTCCTTTGTTTAACCAGTTAACTGCCATGATATTTTCAATTAAATTGTGGCTATGGCGTGCAAATGGTTAAATTTGTGATAAACAATAATAACAATTACACTTACACCTTTATATGATTTAAAATGTTTTATTTGAAAAACAAAAATGAACAGTCCTCTGCATCATTCAGTCAATAAAATAAACAATGATGCAATATATATCGATCCAATTCACTTCATTTTTTATATTGCTCAAGATATAAAAATTTAAAATTGTAATAATTACAAATGAAGGACTTGTACGTGTGTTATAAATTCCACTTATTATGCAGGTAATACCTTAAGAGTATTTCTAGTCTCATGTTTTGATTAGTAAGTTTTAATATTTTTAGTCACTTTTTTATATGCACTCTTTATAATGGAATGGTGGCATAGAGAATCCTAACTATCATGCTATGAAAAATCACATATGTTCAGAATGGGTTATGTGGAGAATGTAATAATTGAATGTAGTTGCATTTGACTTTCACCTAATATTTTTTTCACTAAATCAGTAGCTAATGAAATCGCACTCAGGAAGTAGCCAGAAAGCTCCTTGGTTCCTTCATTTCCTTTCTTGTCAGTGACGGAAATGGACAATAAAACTTTTCTAAGGGCATCCGCGAGGGTATAGCTACTTTCTCTCTCTGTAAGCTGGAACGTGTCTGGTTCTCATGCCCCTTGGGAAGAGGGGAATTCAGCCGGAGCTTAATGAAGTGGGTCGTCCAGGGGCTGCTTGAGGAGGAGGAGGAGAAGGAGGAGGAGGAGGAAGTGGAGGAAGTGCATGTTCCCGCGTCTCCTCCAGCTCCTGCTGGTCTGTGCAGGCGGGAGGCAGAGCCCGGAGAGGCCGCAGGAAGTGCACACTCTCCAGCACTCAGTGCCGGGCACTTCCAGGGCTGATGTGGCCGCGCCCTGTGAACAGCTGGAAAGTGCTCCTGTGTCCTCTTTTGACATGGTGATCACACAGTCAGGCTGTCCTCACTGCGGGGCTGAGCTCAGACTCCGGGCAACGCCTCAGGACCATCTCCTTTCACTGTCCGCTCCTCATCTCTTTCAAATGCCGCCCCCTCGGCCCCACGATGAGTAACAGCTCAGAGTCCGCAGGCTGTTCATTCATTCGCCATCGTGTGCCTTTTGGGTTTCACACAGTTCTCCCCGCTGGGGATTCGGGAGTGAACCCTCCCCAGAGGGTCCCTGCCTTGCTGGCACTTAGAGTCCAGTGGTGGAGACACGCATCAAACAGGTAATCACATGTGTAGTCATTAATGACACGTCTGAAACATGCTATAGAAGCAAATAGTGCGTGAGCTGTTGTAATAGGGGCCCAGCCAGGCCGAGTCCTGCTCAGCAGAGCAGATGCAAGAAGCCTGCGGCCACCCTAGGAGTGCACCAAGCCCAGGACTGTGCGTGCTCTAGACCCTCAGAAAGCGTGTGCATTTGAGAATGGCCCTTCGAGGATGATCCCCGGCCTGCGAGAACTTAATTGCTGAGCTACGGCTCCTGCAGACATGGCCCCGCAGCTGACCCGCACCTTTGCTCTTGTCATCTCAGGCGCAGTTTGACATCGCGGTGGCCAGCGAGATCATGGCGGTGCTGGCCCTGACCGACAGCCTCAAGGACATGAAGGAGCGGCTGGGGAGGATGGTGGTGGCCAGTGACAGAAATGGGCAGCCCATCACAGCAGAAGATTTGGTGAGTGTGTCCATTGCGGGAGCTCCAGAGAGCTCGCTCTACCCGTTCTTGATTAGGAGGATGAAGGGTTCCTTTCTCTTATCCACATGCAGAATGGGAATTCAGAGAATTTCAGCACACACATTCCCCCTCACACGCCCGTTTGTTTCACAGCTTTGTAATGTTCTCACAGGCTTTTAGAACGTGCTTGTAATTGGTTGCAACCAAAGCACATGACATTTATTTCATAAGCTTTTCCCAGTTCTTGCCAGTCCTGGCCTCTGCTCTGCCTGGGGTGGGGGTCATCCTGCAGCCCAGCCCGTGACTTTTTTAAAAAGTGTGACCTCTGCCTGCTTTAAATTGGGGGCAAATCCCCTTTCAAAGGTATGAGACGGAAGTGGCTCCAGCGCACCCTGGCTTGTGTGATTCTGTGCCGTAGGTTTGGGTTTCACATCATAAGAGCAGGGCTCCCCCTTGCTCAGTGTTGCCCATCCAGCTCCTCTTCCAGTGGAATGATGCTGATTATAAAGCTGTGGGGGAATCCTGGCACCCCACTGCCTTCCTTAGTTCCTGTTCTCGTTTGGCACGCTGATCGTTTTATTTTCTTTTTAATAACCGTCTGTGTTGTTAACTTAAACCCCATCGGTGGTACAGTGATTTCATTTGCTCATACGTGTTTATAAGGACGGAGGAGGTAGGACATATGCCTGTTGCACCGCGATTGTGCTAAGTTTGAGCTTACTTCCAGCATCTTGAATCACATACAATAATGGAATCTAAAACATACACTCCCAATTGGAAAACAGTTGTGGAAGGGGAAAGGAAAATTAATATTTTATTAATTCCAAAAGCTTAGGACATAACAGGAACCCTTTGCCAACATGTCTTGATTACTTTTTGGCTGCTTTAGAAGAAATGGATCTGACTGACTTATCGCATAGTTCTTTGTCAAGTAAATTAAATGGATATGTTTACATCAGCAGCTCTATGGAATGCTTAGTACAAAGCTTAAAGCGAAAACCCATAGCCAGCCTGCTGTAAAAGTTACTGCTTTTCAAAAATTGTCAAGACCTCTACATTTCTATCTAAACTGACATATTACAGTTTCTGTATAAATATATTTCTCTGTATCCTATTAACTTTAAGTACCAACAAATATGTGGCAGGAGTGATTTGAAATTTAATCCTCAAATACTGTTTCCCTTAGCTTATTTTTTTACGTGTGATAAAAATCTTGGATCTGGAACAGATTCAGAGTTTGCTCTCTTTAGTTATCGTTTGTGTCTCTTCTTTGCGAACGTACCTAATCTCTGCAGATCGTGTTTCATTGAGTTGGAACTCTCAGTAGTTGGTCCAACATAGAAAATTAAGGGAGAACTTGCAGAGCTTCTATACTATCATCTCACTACCTTATGGCTTGTTTTTTATTTGGTCAAAAGACTGCATGTATTGCAGCGAACATTGGAATATGTGGCATGTAAAAGTTCCTGATAAGATGATTGATTCTGATAGTTTCTGGAAGAATATGCCCAAGCTCTCCCCTCCATGAACTTGGGATGTGGAACAGGTGGCATAGCTTACAGTTCGCGTGACAGCCCCAGAGCTGCTCTTGGTGGTGATGGGGTTTTTTTGGCATGGGTTTGACAACAGTCAGTGTGTAGGGAGCAACAAAAGATGAGCTGTGGCGTGGAAAACCAAGCAGGTGGGAACCCACCTGAGACAATCCAACAGAAACGTCCTATGTCCTTCCTCCTGTAGTTTCTTGAGCTAGGTGTGTTTGGCCAGGGATTAGAAGCAAGGATAGTGTGCAGAAAAGCAAACTACTACTCTTCTTCTACATGCTTTGTGTTATGAAAAGAGAACTGATTTCTTTGTGCCATTCCTGGCCAGCAGCTTTCACCGTCAGACATCTTAATGTATTTATGACAGGCAGGTTACATTTCTTGCGATGTATATTTTGTACAATCAAGTTGGATTTGTATAATAAATTGGATTTCCTCATAAATCTTAAGTGATGAAATATTATGAAAATAGAAAAAGATCACATGAGAGAAATGTAATATCATTGGTGATAGAAGAGGGAGAAAGTAATAAACTAATGCACTTTGGAGAGATAAAGAATTTCTAGATTCTACCCACTGATCCGTTAAGAGCTGTTGCACACTATTTAATTTTTTCATGGCTACATTCACATGCATTTGCTCCTAGTATAGCCACCTAATAACTGACTAGTTTGTTGAAAGACACCCTCAATCCCATAGAATGTACCACACCCCAAGTAAACGCTCATGTGAACTATGGAAAAAGGAAAAACGAAAGACACTTGCCCAGTGTCTTGAGAAAAGGTGGGAGGGATTTTTTTTAAAGCTTACCATGTGACCTTATTTGACACATTTTTTCCATAGTGCTTAGACTTCCTCCCTGTTGTTTCTTCCTTCTCCCTTCGTTTCCAAAAAAGGATTTAGAGGGAGCCCGGCCCAGAGCTTCCTAGGACTGGAAGAGGGCAGCCTCATTCTAGGCAGAGAGCATGAGACACAGAGGACGAGAAGCCTTTTCGATGCTTCTGTTTTTGGAGTGCCTTCTCTGTCTGGACGAGAGGTTGAGAGATGGTGGGAAACCAGAATGGGTGCTTTTAAGACAGTTCCCTCTCCCTCTCTTCATGCCCGCTCTGGAAATAGCGTTTTTTCAGTTCTTGGTCTCATTTCTTCAGGCAATAGTAAAATCTCTGGTTATGAAAAAATAATGAGCATAATTGCCAGAAAACACTTGTAGATGGCCTGAAAGATCTACTTCCTGGCAGACCTCTTAAACACCCTCAAGGAGGGCTTTGAAAAAATGCGACTATTACTTCCCCATCACTCTTCATGTCTTACACGGTTGACATTCATTCAGGTGGGGAGAGATGGACGGAGGGCGCAGTGCTGTGTCACAGGTGGCCGGCAGGCAAGAGCAGCCTGTGGGAATGCCCACCTAGGGGACAGGCTGGAGAGAAATGGATCATCTTTTGTCAATCATCTGTTGCTTTTTTCTTTATGGGAGAAAATATTTTTTAAAATTTATTTTCAGTTATAGTTGACATATAATATTACATTCGTTTCAGGTGTACAACATAGTGATTCAACAGTTACATATCTTGTGATCACTACAATAAGCCTAATATCTGTCACTGTACATAATTATTACTTATTATTGACTTTGTTCTTTATGCTGCATATTACATCATCGCCATGACTTACTTTTATAACTGGAAGTTTGTACTTTTTAAACTCCTTTTCCACCCAACCATCAGTTTGTTCACTGTATCTAAGACTTTGTTTCTGTTTTGTTTTGTTTATTTATTTGTTTTGGTTTTTGGACTCCACGTATAACTGAAATCGTATGGTATTTTTCTTTCTCTGTCTGACTTATTTTATTTACACGATAGATCTATCCATCTTGTTGCAAATGTCGAGTTCATTCTTTTTAATGGCTGAATATTTCATTGTGTACATGTACCCTATCTTCTCTGTCTATTCATCTATCAGTAGACACCTAGGTTGCTTCCATATCTTGGCTGTTACAAGTAATGCTGTAGTGAACGTATGGGGTGCATATATCTTTTTGAATTATTGTTTTCCTTTTCTTTCGGATCAATACCCAGGAGTGGAATTGCTGGATCATATGGTAGTTCTATTTTTAATGTTTTGAGTAATCTTCATAATGTTTATTGGCTGCATTCATTTACATTCCCACCAACAGCGCATGAGGGTTCTCTTTTCTCTGTATCCTCACCAGCACTTGTTATTTGTTTCTTTTTTATAATAGCCATTCTGACAGGTGAGAGGTGGTATCTTGTTTTTTTGATTTGCATTTCCCTGGTGTTTAGTGATGTTGATTATTTTTCATGTGTCTCTTGGCTAGCTGTATGCCTGCCTTTGAGAAATGTCTATTTGGGTCCTTTGTTTTTCTTATGTTGAGCTGTATTTTGGATATCCCTTATCTGATATATCACTTGTAAATGTCTTCTCCCATTCAGCAGGTCGCCTTTTCATCTTGTTGATGGCTTCTTCCACTGTGCACAAGCTTTATTTTATGTAGTCCCATTTCTTTCTTTATTCTTTTATTGCCCCCTGCCTTTTAAAAGCGATGTCAGAGTTTACTGCCTATATTTTCTTCTGGGAAATTTATGGTTTAGATCTTACATTTAAGTTTTTAAACCATTTTGAGTTATTTTTGTATATAGTATAAGAAAGTAATCTAGTTTCATCTTTTTGCATGTATCTGTCCAATTTTCCCAACACCATTTATTGAATAGACTGCCTTTACCCTATTGTATGTTCTTGCTTCCTTTGTCGGAGATTAATTGACCATATGAGCTTGGGTTTATGTCTGGGCTCTCTGTTCTGTTCCCTTGATGTATGTGTCTGTTTTTGTGCCAGTTCCATGCCAATTACGATAGCTTTGTAGAATAGTTTGAAATCAGGAACGTGATACCTCTGTGGCTATTCAGGTCTTTTGTGATTCCATATAAATTTTAGGATTATTTGTTATAGTTTTTGTTTTTTTTAAATGCTGTTGATATTTTGTCAGATTAAATAATTGGTGTGGGTTTTTTTTTCCTCTCTCCTTTAGGGGGTGACAGGTGCTTTGACAGTTTTGATGAAAGATGCAATAAAACCAAATCTGATGCAGACCCTAGAAGTAAGTGATTTTCTTTGTATAGAAATTGTTGAAAGTTTGCATTAATTGGATTGCTTGCGCGTCCCCTACAACATGAGCACTTCCAGCCAATATGAGCCCACAAGGAACATCGGAAGAATTTGGTCATCCAAAAAAATTAAAAGTGTACTTACAGATTCTTTAATATAATTCATATCTTGCCTAATGTAGTACTAATTGGCCAGAGTAAAAATTTAGAGACTCGATATCTTGTCTAATATTTCAGTAAGTTGTGTAGTTATGTTTACATGTTTTCTCTTTTGCTTTTTTTTTTTTTTTTTTTTTTTTTTTTTTTTTTTTTTTTGCTTAATCTCTCATAACAATTAGGTTTTGAGATTTTTTTGTTTTTGTTTTCCCCAAACAAAACACACAGTAAATGGTGAAAAAGGTTTTCCAGGAAAGTATGCTGTACCCTGCTTTTATAAGAATGCTGTTTTTGTATATGACTTTCCTGCTCTCGTCTTTATTGAACTTAAATTTCCTCATCAAAATATCTGTTTTCATCCAGGGGTGTAGTCACTCGTCTTGCTCATATGTTGTAGTAATTGTCTAATTCCCTCCTCTTAGCTAAAGAGAGCCCAGGGTTTGGGTGCAGACAAGGAGGCAGTATTTGGGTCGGGTTGACAACGCAGATGGTGTGGGTAGGGGTCTGGGAGATAGTGGTGTACTGGTAAGTGTTTTAACAGCCAGCTCTCTGGGTAAAAATGCCTAATTTGTAGCATTTGCCAATTTGGACAATTGTCTCACAATGGCCAATTTCTGGCTCCCTTCCAGAGGTCCCTGAACAATGGAGATGGGAGGCAGTGCATGCCATGAGTGGTGTAAACGCCTATTTGTCCTCGATCTGTAGTGGGACAAAGGGAGGTGGAGGTGGCCAGAGCATTGGGAAGACATATAACAGCAACACAAGCAAAACAACCATCCATTTATTCAGCTATTCAGCTGATACAAAGCTGAGTTTCAGTGTTCACTCTGCCATTCACTAACTGTGACCTGTGTTTTCATAATCTCATTCTCCCTTTTCTCTCATGTAAAATGCTGAGAGTCCCAATGGCTCACATACCCCACCAATGCTTGCTGCTATATGATACCGTACACAGTTAAATACTGTTGTCTGAAAATTCCAGAGCTAATCCAAAGACATAAAACTATCTATCATGAGTGTGGTATTTCACTTTATCTACAGAACACTTAGGAAAGTAACTCAGTAACTTCACCCTGATGTTCCTTCCTTCGGGAGCCCTTGCTTCTTCTGGCCTCTGACCCCTCACCCTCCTGGACCTTCTTTTTTTTTTTTTTTTTTAAATATACTTTATTGGTTTTTTACAGAGAGGAAGGGAGAGGGATAGAGAGTTAGAAACATCGATCAGCTGCCTCCTGCACACCCCCTACTGGGGATTTGCCCACAACCAAGGTACATGCCCTTGACCGGAATCGAACCTGGGACCCTTCAGTCCGCAGGCGGACGCTCTATCCACTGAGCCAAACCGGTTAGGGCCTCCTGGACCTTCTTGATGGCCTCTCCTCCCTCTCCTCTGTTGGCTTTCGACTCAGCCCCTGAATGTTGGGGGGGCCTGAGCCCTCATTTCTCCAGCTGTGCTCTCCCTGGTTACCAGCCATGCGATGACCCCACGCTCTGGTTCTCAACCTCCTGACCTCAGAATTCCAGATTTGGAGGTACAGTTACCAAGAGCCGCTTGAGTGGGTAAAAGGCATTTCAAACTTAACAAATAAGATCTTTGATTCCCAACCACCTCCTACTTCCTCCCAACCTGCTCCTTCCCCCAAGCCTGGTCTGTGAGCGGTTCAAGCCAAAAACCTAGAGATCATCCGGAGGTCCCCCTCCCTCCCTCACCCTGCCTCCCTGCCTCCTCCCTCCTCCCTGCCTCAGCTACCAGCATGCCCACCTGTCACACCGCCAACTGGTCTCACTTTATTTTTATTTTTTATTTTACTAGCTACATTTTAAGTAGCCTCAGGTATCGGATGGTGCAGATATAGAATATGTTCATCTTTGTAGAAAGTCCATTTGGACAAAGCTGTTTCAGGACTCTGGCAAGCAAATGGGTAATTGACTTGAAATGTTTGAAAAGTCCATTTTGGAGAATATCTATAGCTTTGTCATCATGAGGAACCAAGATAGCCCCTGCATTACTTTCTGAAGTGTTCTGTATATAAAGTGAAATGCCACACTCATGATGGGTAGTCTTATATCTTTGGGTTTTCAGACACCGTTTTTAACTGTGTATGGTATCACATGGCCGCAAGCACCGGTGGAATGTGTGAGCATATGTGTCTGTCTGAAGGTCTAACAAAGAAAATGTACACATTTTCCCATTCAAACTCCATACTGGGGGTTCCAAAACCAGGGCTCCAGTACTGAATAACATACTGTGTGGCCTTCAACTGTAAATGAGAAGTAAAATGCTGCTGATCTAGTTCTTAGAGTGGCTATATCAGGAGTAGTGAGGTGTTTATGCTGATCCAGCCATACCCTGTCTGTCACCTGTGCCCCTTGGAGACCAGTGTCTCGTGCTTCTCAGACAGATGGCCCCATCAGGGTTGGGGTTGCTGCGCGGAAAGGAGTGAGGGCAGCTGCCCGCCCAGGGAGGCAACCTGCGACCTTGTCCTCACGAAACGTCCCAGCGCCACTCTTACTCAGCGAGCCACGTGCGGGGACTGGCGAGGTCAGGAGGTGACGGAGACTCTGTCTTTTAAACAGCGTTTTCTTCAGAGCACTTGAAAGGTTTATCTGGACAGAAGTGAGAAATCAGACATAGACAGAGGTACACGGGTAGATGCAGACACTAAACCCACGTCTGTATACATGTCTCTCAACATGTGTGTTTGGGTTTCATCATCCCGACTTTATGTCCACACACATGTGTATGACCTTCTCAGGACCCTGTTACTGTCCCTCCTGAGGACTTTGGGAGGAAAGTAAACAGAGAGCTCACAGACTGGCTTTGATAAACTGTCTTCATTCTCAGAGACGGTTTTTCTCTCGCTTCCCCTCTTCCTGCTTTGGTGCAGCTTTCTCAGCTTGGACGATGGTCAGCCAGCAGCCCATCGTGGTGCGTGGGAACTTTCCGGGGCTTGCAGCCCCCATGCCCGCGCTCCACTCCCTGTCTCCCCACGCCCGTGAGCGGGCAGCCTGTTTTCACAGGTGGAGCTCAGGCTGCGCGTACACAGGCCCCGGTGGCCCCGCTGGGCTCTGAATAAAACCCGAGCACTCGAATGCGTGTGGGTAAACACGCTCTTCTAGGTGGGGCTATGGTCTGTTCTCATCAACAACGGAAACGTATAGGACAGGCATTAAAAATAAATGCACAGGCAGGTTCTCGTTCAAAGAATGAACATGTAATGGTTGTCCGATTTTTAACATGGAAGACAAACACTGAAAGTCTTAAAGCAGGATTTTTAAAAATCGGAATAACAAGCTTATAATTGTGAACATAAAAATGTTATAGTTCCTTATCATTGCAAATATAATATCCTTATGTAGTTGGCCTGCCGTGAATCAAATGGATTTTTTTATGCTTGCTTTGGGTTTTTCTTGAACTGATTAATTTCTTAAATAATCCTCTTAGACCATCAGAGTCTAATCCCATTTTTTTTAAAGAAAACACAATGTGAAGTAATGTGAAATAATGTAAGGCATTTACTTCACGGTCACTGAGGCAGCTAACACAGTGGCTTATCAGAATTACCGTAGGAAATAACTGGCCCTCAGCGCCTTTTCTCCTTGGTTCAGCATTAAATGTAGAATTAACACCATTCCAGAATACGTAAGGAACCTGGACCTTTGAAAGACTCGGGGCTTTTTAAACTTTGTGAGAATTTGGGCATTAGACTTGTAGTTTCAATGAAAGCGGAATGGCTGAAGTGAGCCTTCTCAGTACCCAGCAGTCTGGCCCACCTCGTGTGACCTTTCCGTTTGTCTCTGGGGTTTTTCATTTGTTCTTCTGCTTCCACAGGGGACGCCCGTCTTTGTGCATGCTGGTCCCTTTGCTAACATCGCCCATGGCAACTCTTCCGTGCTGGCTGATAAAATTGCCCTGAAACTAGTGGGTAAAGAAGGATTCGTAGGTAAGTCATTTCTTTTTTAATGTAGTTGTTGTAGGACATGGAAATCTAAAAGGTGATGACTGGAGTGGCGTGGAACTCACACGGACTTGAGATGTGTTCTTTAGACCTACCTACCCGTCAAAGAGGGTCTCGGTACTGGAAAAGCCCTGTGGGCCGGGCTGCACTGGTGAAATGAACTCGTGGTTGAACCATGGGTTCTGGTGTCAGATGCATGTGGGTGTGGGTGTAAGCTCTGATACTTTCTGGCTCAGAGACCTCAGGCACATTTTAGGGACCTCAGAGCCTCGGTTTTCTCATCCGTAAAATGGTGATCACAATATTGTATCAAACCTTGTAGAGTTATTGTGAAAACTAAAGGAGGTTATTCTTTCAGCAGATACGGAGCACCTACCACTTACAAGGCATGCGACTTAGACCTGAGGCCACAGTGCCGAGGACACAAGCTTAGCCCTGCCCTCTTGGGGTGTCCGTCTGATGGCGTGTATCATCTAGCAGGAGAGGGTGTTCATTCCATCTTAGCTACTATTAGCAGTAATAGTACTATTAACAACTTAAAATTAAATTGAATCTGAATGTGTCTTTGGTGGCCTAATGGAGGAAAGAGTTCCCAGCCAATACACTTGGGAGTTTTAACTGGTAGAACTTCACATCTTCGCTGTTGTCAAACTCTCCTTTGTGGTACCTGTTTCTCTTTGGCTTTTGTTGGATATTCCAGCCAGAAAGAGGGGGCAATGGCCATCGAGATGGCACAGTGAGTACCAGATCCCACCCATGACATTAAGGCTGTGACAAAACAAAAGACAAAACAGCACGGCTTCATGGAATGACCCCTTAATTTGACACTGAGGGATTATACTGGCAGGTTTCACAGGCCCACGGGGTATTTCCATTTACCGCCTGAGTGCCTACCATCACCGAGTCTAGCAGTTGCTTCTTTCACACCCGTCCTCAGCCTGGTGTCCAGCTCAGAGTGGGTTATTGTACTAGAAAGGATTCCACAGGACAAAAGGACTTAGCTGTGCACTTTTATACTCAGCCATGAGGAAGGCCATTCAGGGCTGTTGAGACTGCTGCAGGCATTCCTTGTAAGCAGTCAGGAGCGGAGGAGGATATGTATAGCTCCTTCCTCAAAGGTCTGTGCTAGACGGCCCTCGTGCACTTTGCTTCTTCGGTACCGAGTCCACAAGGAGAGTGGCTAGACATGCTGTCTCAAAGGACTTGCTCGATCGATCACGGCGTAATTGGAGAGCTAATGGACGAGGAGGCCGGGCAGAGGCGGGCACCGCGAGGCTGGTGCTTTTGTGAAGTGGTGTTCTAATGCTTTCACTCCACCAATAAAAGAACTTCTAGAAGAAAGCACTCCGTCTCGTGCTGACAGAGCTCTGCCTCTGTTCTCATCCAATGCATATTTATGGAATGTGTGTTACCATGGCAAAGCATCTGTCAAGGTGTGTGCAGAACATAGCAGCTCTCCGCGTGACCTTGGACAAGCCACCCTCTTCCAGCCAAGGTCCCTCACACTCGGCAGAAGCCCTCTGGGCAGTGCCTCTTTTATACATGCCTGCTGCTTCCACAGCTGGTCTCCAGGCACCACAGACCTTTGACCTCTGACCTACCTTTGGTGGGAGTGCAGCTGTGCCGCTCACACGACCCTGACCCTCTGTTGTGCCGTGGGCTGTAAACTTCCCTTTATCTCCCTCCCCCCTCCCCACCCCTCACCCTTCACCACGGAGGCCCCTAAGGCAGAGACCACTGCGCCTCCCAGGTCTCTCCTCTAAAGCCCCCCTCCCCTCACTAGCTTGAGGCCAGAGTGGGGCTGGTGATGGGGACAGTGGCCTTTGAAGACGTCCTTTCCTGACTTCTGACCTTGTCAACCCCTTTGAAACCTCAAGGTGGCTGTTGGGCTAACGGATGCAAAATTTATTTTCAAACGATTTCTTTGCCAATAAGCAAGTGGCACCATTTTGAAGCCTAAAATAAAGTGGAATGCAGGGGCATGCGTGTATCTGAAGCCTGAGGAGAAATGTCTGTCCTTAGGAAAGTCATTGTTTATAGGCTCAGACCCAAAAGATTGATAATTTGGGTTACATTAAGGAAATAAATTTTGTATGATAAAGGATGTTAGGTTAAAAAGCAAGTGACAGGTTGGAAGAAATCATTTACAAAGGCAACAGACACATGAACAGCATTCAGAATGTACAGGGGTGGCCAAACGGAGGTTTACGGTTGTGAATATGTGAAACAGTTTATTCTTGTGTTATTTATTTGTTAATCATTGTGTTACTGATTTGTATGACAGCTGTAAGCCTACTTTCCCCCACCCCTGTATAACTCACAAAGGGCTATATAGACTGATAAGAAAAAAACAAATACTCCCAGAAAATGGGCAAAAGATTGGAAAAGGTAGTTCACAGAACAAGAGCAATCTGACAGAATTTCCGGGTACAACTTCAAAAGAGAAAATGATGTAGCCGTTTCACTTCTCTGTAATACCCCGAAAATAAATAATTGAAAATATGTTTAGGTCATTGAAATAACTTACCTCAGGACATATTTATTGAGCTTCTGCTGTATGTCAGGTAATACACGGCCGGAGCCAGGAATTGAAGATGATTAAGACACGTTTCCCAGCCCACAGTAATTTACAATGGGGAGAGAGACAGGCCTGCAAGCAGACCCTCAAATGGCAAGTCCAATGCACTTAGGAGATTAAGGACCACATTGATTAACTAAGAACCTTAGGAGATGGGGCGCGTCTCTTAGATAGAATTTTCCCCACACTCCTGGTTTAATCTAGTGTTCTGTTCCATCCCAGCACACATAAGGAATTATTTTGTCTACTCTACAATAATTACTCCAAGATAATGGCCTCAATATTCCATTTAGACTTAAAAACAGAGTAAAGTTTATTTAATTAATTGCAGAAACTTGTCAGACAAGAGCAGAAGGCTCCATGAGAATCTGGGCAAGTGCTGTGGTCACTGATTTCTGTTTCTACTTCTTCCGTCAACAGTCCTCGGGGATCCACTCGCTTCATTTACTGCTGTCAAGGCAAAACATTGCTTTGGCATCAAACCCCAACCATGTGTTATTTTTAAGGAAATAAAGAAAGAAAAGAAAAGAATAACAACATTGAGTTCCTCGGTTTTGAAAACTTATCTCATATTTAAACTATTTGCAGGGATTTCTAACTTACACATGAACCTTAGTTTTTAAAATTTATTTTCTGTTCCCTAAATTTGGTTTTGCTTCCAGTTTTGAATGAATAACTTGCCTTCCTTCTGGAATACAGCCTACATTTTTTAAAAAAGTATATTTTTATTGATTTCAGAGAAGAAAGGAGAGGGAGAGAGAGAGAGAAACATCAATGATGAGAGAGAATCATTGATCTGCTGCCTCCTGCACGCCCCACAATGGGGATTGAGCCCGCAACCTGGGCATGTGCCCTGACTGGGAATCAAACTGTGACCTCCTGGTTCATAGGTCATTGTTCAACCACTGAGCCACTCCGGTCAGGCCAGTCTACATTTTTATAGCCAGAGGTTTGTTAACCGATGATCACCAGTCACCCCCTCCCATAACTAAATGCATAATTATATGAGTGTATGTACTTTTTTTAAAAAACAGAGTTAAGCTCCACAATTCTCATTAGATTCTCAAAAGAAGACATCCGTGCCTCAAAAAGATAAAAGGCCAGGGTCTGCATCTCAGGCCCTAATGGGTGCGGTATGCTGCTTCCCCTTACCCTCTATGGGGATCCATGTGAAGATCGGGTGCCTTTCAGCTTCCTGTTCACATTTGACCTGAGCACTCGCATCCAAAGTGCATGTCAAGAAGTTACCTCCTGGATTGCGTCTTCTCCTTGCTAACTAGACAATCACATGGACCCAGGCTGGGTTCCCCTGGTGCTGCCTGGGTACATGAGTGTAAACAGATGAGGTGGCAGAAGAGAAAGATTAGGCCCATCCCCAATCATGCACCAGGCGTGGCCCTGCACATTTCAGGATTAGGATTTAGTGATCAGAACGAGTAGCCATAGCAGTTCTAAGGCAAACCGAATAGGCTTGGGAAACACAACCTTGTTAATATTTCCATTATAAATGCTCCGGTTCTCTGAGCTTCAAACCTGTGCTAAAGCCATCACAGACTTGCTCACTTAATCCTTAAACAGTTCTGTTGTTCTCCCCGTTTTACAGATGATGCAACCGAAGCCTAAGTCATGGTACCCGTCGTCTGCCATGGCTCAGCCTAGGTGGCGGGGATGCGCCCACGGCCTCCCCCGTGCAGAGAGAGGATCTGTTGGCTCTTCTGCCTGCAGTAACTTTCCCATCTCTCTCTATCTAGTTCCCAGCCACTCCCATAAAAAATAATTCGTTTCAGATGACCTGTCTACAGCAGATGGTCACATTTAGAAATTGTACCAATATAATTATATTGTGCCAATAGATAGTAGCATGTGCCACCAGTCGTGGGATACTTTGAGGTGTTTTTTGTTTTTTTTTCTTCTGACTACTTTAAAAGATCCTTTTCCCTGATATATTGCTAATAAAGGTTGTCTTACTGAGTCACATGCTGACTGCTCTCCCTGCTGCTCCCCCACCGCACCCCCTTTTGCAAACAGCTTTAAATCTTTGCACTTGGGCTTCGGGACTCTGTGCTGGTGGTTACACCCTGTCCTCTGTTTCCATTTTTATTGTTAGGCAATTTTACATGTGCCTTTGTTTCGATAGGAGAGAACCAAACTAAACATTCCTATAATTTCATCCACCCTTTAAAAAAACCCATGTCCAGTGACAGTCCAGCTTTCGAAGCTCTCATTCTCCCAGACTTCACCCTGGTTACGTTACTTGGAAGCACTGATCTCAGCCCACACTCCGTCATGGTTATACTCTCCGCTGATCACATTTGTAATATCAAGGATGAGAAGTGCAGAATTATTGGAGGTCTGGCTGAAGGTCACATGCTAACGTTCAGGAAGCCACTAATCACCAGTAGTGGCT